TTTAGAATGTTTGCATCATGCCTGTATAATTTTTTCCTTCATTATGTGACTAATTTTTATTCTATTTCTTATTTGAAAATTACAATCAGAATTTTTTCAAATAGGATTTTAGTGACCTTTTGTATCTGTCTGACTATTTCTGAATACTATTTCATGATTTATGTTTTACTATATCTAAATAGCAAGTACAAATACAATGATATTTTTGTTTCTACAATTTTTTATATTTTATGCTAGCTCTTACTTCATCTTCTTAAAAGAATTATGGTTTTTGCCACCTGCATTGTGCCATTCCCAATTAACTCAATTTCCCACTTTATGCATTTAAGCAGTTATTGTACACATGTGAACTATACGTTTCAACCTCTTATTTGTCAAAAGTTATATTGGTTTATTTGCTTTAAAGGATTGATTTCTTCAATGAAACTATAAAATGAAAAAGTCATAAAGTTCCAAGGATTTTCAGTGCAATGTTAATGGCCTATTGATGTTTAATGCTAATGTCACATTTGGTATGTTTTACAAAATGAAAATATCTTTTGTTGAATTAAATATCTGAATCTAGTTGCCAGTGTCAAGGTTTAAATACATGTTTAATAATGAATGAAGTCATTCATTTTGAGCCATTTCCTGCCTCTATGCAGCAGACTGCCTGTCCTCAAAAATTGATTTTTTTCTTAAAAAATTAAGTACAAACTACTGAGGTGAACCCATAGGTTCCTGAGCCTTTAGCAATTTTCAAGAATTATAACATGCTTGTATAGCCCTGTTTTACCACAAAAACAAACAAACCAGGATTTCATTAAAGTATTTACCTCCAAGCGGGATAAGTTAAACATTGTGTTTTTATTTTATTTTTCTTGTGCTAATAAGTTCTGGGCAAGTGGTTGGGTCTAGCATATGCACAGGTGTAGAAGGTTAAATACTCAAGTACCTGTCAGGTTGATTTCCAACATTTGAACACACAGTAGTGGTCTTTGAAGCATTGAAGCAAGTGGCTTCTGCACCTAGTTGGGATTTTGAAAATTGGCTTGCACTAAGAGTAAACCTGTTTGCATCTCATTTCATGTTGTCAGGTTGATTGTTTATCATCAGTAAAAGAAAACGCGAGAACTTGAAAATCTAAGGTGTGTCCAACTGGAAATTAGAGAAATCATGAAAAACTGGCATATTTTGAATATTATGGACAAAAACTTTATAAAAGCTGGCATATTTTGACCAATTTTAGACAGAATTTTGAAAATGAGGTTTTGCACACCCAGTTAGGAAAAGGGAGAACATTTCACGTAGACATGTATTCAATAAGTCAGGTTTCATGCCTAGTGTCATTTTAAGAAATTATTTTCATCAATTTGAAAGACATGATTTTGTTGAAGGTGTACAAAACTAATTTCTTCAGAGCTTAAAACAAGAACATTTCATACATGCCACATTAACATTTTTCAAACTGCAAACCATATTAAAGAGCAGATGTTTTGCAAACCATACACTAACATCAATATTGTGATACATTTAACAAAACCATTGTATTCATCTGAATGAATTAATTATGCAAATTAAGACTAAATTAGACACTCATATTGTTCTTTTAATATTGATACTGATTCATAATGTAGGATAGTTTTGTCGTAGTTATTTTCTTATGTGGCATTTACCTGCACTAAGGCATTGATACCTTTGTTAATAATGCTTTCTAAAAAGCCTAAGGCCTCAAAAACGCAGCCCAACAATGATGTCCTTCTTTCTAGCAAAATATATATGCAAAACTATGGACAGTCTATTGTATTTTTTGTATTTTGAAAGCATCATGGTGAATATCATTACCTGCTGGTGTAAGGGGGTGGGTTGATGTTTCCAGGAATGGAAATACATTAGATGGATGTGGGGCATGTCAGTAGCTTTCATTTCCAAGATATCAAAGTTTTCATTGATAAACAAACTTGGGATCCAGTATGGAAAGCCAGCGACATTGATGTAAAAATGTCATGTATAAATTCACGTGTATACCAGATTAATATTTTTATATTATACATCTTTTTCAAATATACTGAATGTTTAAATTTGATGTTTCTCTAGTCTTTATCAAATTTTGCACTTTTTCCTCCACGTGCAAGATAAAAGTGACAAGTAGGATATTATGCATGGATGAGTCTGAGGCGATAGCCATAAAGCTGAAAGATAAAACAATAAAACAGTACAATGTTGATATTGTTTAAGACTATACTGATCTTTACTCTGCAGTGATCTCCACAGGATTTTTTCTCAAGTGGGTCCACAATTTTTATTTTCACAATTCAGACCAAAATTGGTCAAAATAAGCCCCTTTTCACGATTTTCTCATTTTCAAATGGGTGCAAATGGATTCTATTCTCAGGTGGGTGCAAGCCTATTATCAAAATCTCAGGTGGGTGCTGCACCTACTTGCTTTAATGCTAGGGAGATCACTGCTCACTATGATGCTCTTCTTAGGATTTTCAAACTGGTATATTGTTCTCATTTTTTCAATAAAAATGTCTAATTCTGGTCAAAAGATCTTTTATTAGATCACTACCAATTCAATTTACTGGAGGAAAACACCATAATGGTATACAATGGTAACTTCCATTAGATCAGAGATTGTTAATTGTAAGAAAGGAGCCATGACAAGTATCCGAATGGGAAAATTGGATTCAGATCAAATGTTCTATTTTCTCATGGTTTGACGGAATGAACATCTTGTATTGATGTTGTAATCTTTGGAATTAATGTTGTGATCTCTGGTAATGATACCCAAATGATTCAGCAGGTACAGTCACACATTGTCTAGATAGCTTATCATTTGGGGTTCTCTCCTCCAGTAAAAATCCGTCTGCTTATGCTTATTCCACTCGATTTCTCTTTAAAATTTGAATAAAGCCTCTGATTTTCTTACATTTCTATATCATTTAAAGTGCTATCCCCATGTCTTTTTAGTTTGTTTTATTGTTTTTTCTCTCTTTTCAGATTATTTTGTATTTTAAAACATGATCATCTTGACTTTATATGTGTGGGTTTGATGGTATTTTTGTACCCTCATTCCCATTTCGAACTTCATGATACACTGAAGTTACAGGATTCCCTCATAAATATATAAAGTTACACAAACTGCTGTTAGATTAAAAATTTATATGCAGCTTGAAATGTTTGATTATTTTAACCTGGCGGGAACATGCAGTTACAATAGTATTACATCTCAAGGGATTATCTTCATTTACACATTCATGAAATCTTATATATAAATTTCTTAATCTTAAGATTATTAGATTATCCATAATACCATAATTCTTAAATCCACAAATAACCCAAGGTGTATCTTTGATACAGATCCCAAATTTATTGACTTTGATAAACGCAAGCCCAAAGGAGGAATAATATTTGAGGAATTTCGTGCACGTTGTCAAACAGATGCTTTCCAGGGATAAGCCATTAATTAGAGTTATCATAGTCTCATATTATAAACATATTGCTGTTGGTTGTTGGACATCTATTTAGACTAGACTGTTAGTGGTTACCCAATGAAAAGTGGTTACCCAATGTTGACTAAGCTCTGGTGTTGCATTGTGTAGACTCCCTCACCATACCCATTAAAACAGATGTCTTTACAAAATTAGGAAAATATGAAGTAGGGTTGGGGCAGGTTTAATATAAATCTAGCTTCGGACCAGTTTTCCATCATTACCCCTCACCCCTGCTTCATTATCTACTTATGTATATATATCCAGAATATAGTGATCTCATTGGTGGAAGTACGGTGCAGAGGGATGTCATTTTCTCATATATTTTTGTATTTTCCCATGATAACCCCCGGGTGATAACCTTACAAGTCTCTGGAAAGTAAATATCTAAATCTATGTAACAATCACTATAGAAAGATACTTCAAGCAAATGAAAATAATCAGCCACAAAGCGCCATTTACAGAACTATCAATTGAAATAAACATACAAATTCGAGGTACTAAAAATCATATACATTGTATTTTAGTAAGTGCCCAGACATATCACGTTTAGTGTAACTTAGTCATACTTGTGAGTATTCTTCACCCTTTTCAATATATCCTAGAGATACAGACTGTTCAAATATATATTTATTGCTGTTATACCAAAACTCATCTTCACGATTCATAGTGAGAAAGTCAAAGTGCTTTGTATGGACATTTTGACTCTAAACAGAAAAATAAATTAACTAAGATTTTTGAAAGAAATCATTTGAATGCATTTTTGACATTATGATTGTTATATGAAATATCATTAGAACCAGAGTTTATACTTTTAATGTCATGTTTATTCTCCTTAATTTCTTTTTTAAATCATACAATGTCTGATATTCTTATATTTCTATATAATTTAGAGTCTTGACTATATGCCCGTTCACTGTATTCCTTGCTAATTCCACTCTTTCAAGTTATTTTACATTTTAAAACATAACCCCTTTGAGGTTATTTCGCAGGTCAAGTACTGGATTCTTCAAAATCATTATAATGTGTAATGTTATCTAAAGACAAAGATACAAGTACAGTTACCTGTCATCTTGATTTAATAATTATCTTTAAATTCTTTTAATGTACTTATAATTTTCTTTTGAACCATCCTTCCTGCATTCCATTTGCGATATAAAAACGAACACTGTGTAATTAGGCTAAATAGGTGCGCCGTAGGGATGATTTTAGATACAGGTTTTATTTTTAGGGAAATATGTGGATCTTATATGGCAGGGAACAAGGGACATATAAATATTTCACTTCAGATAAATTCTATATCTAGATGTTTCCCATATATATACTATTTGTTTTCAGTTTGCTATTTTCTTTCATTTATTAATCTGTATTGTCTTCTATGTATTGAACTGTTGAAGAGATGATCCTGGAGCAACAGATACATTACGCTTCCCTACCCAATACTTTCTGTCTGATCAGTATAGCTACTGTTATTTTGTTTTGTCTATATGAAATTTATTAATCCGTTTTGTCCTATGTGTTTTCCAGGTGAAATAACAGGTTTAGAAATGACCCCTGTGCAACAGACGCAATATATACCCCTACCCGATGCTCTCTGTCTGATCGTGACGGCCCTCAATGATGCCCACATCCTGGCAACTCTAGAAGTCATCAGAGAGAGGCTACAACGAGCCTACAAGGGTATCAACTCACCATCAGAACAAGTGGTCTATGACACGCTATCAACTCTTATTTCTGAGAAGAAACTCTATCACAATGGTAAGGAAAATATATTGAAATACGAGGGGTGATCCAAAAGTCCTGGACGCCCTGCTATATAGCAAAGTAAATATAAGGATTACTGGAGAAATAATTTTTAGAATAGATCCTTTTTGGGTTCTGTCATATCTAGGATTAGATAGGCATTGATAAAGAAGGAATTTTATAGTTCTAGAATTTTCAATTGAAAATGACTTAAAAATTAGCTCACATACAGTTAATAGTAGTGTTTTCAGTGGATAAAGGTTTTTAAAACATGTTCCCCTTCAGAAAAGTGGATAATTGTTCAAATGAAAATATTTTTAAAAAAGTTTTTTTTATTTCCAGGCAAAGGCTACTACATTGTTACCCCAGAGACGTATAATATATCGCTACAGTTCAAGGGTCACCCTTATGTATTTAATGCCCCCCAGGCTCCTCCCCCGCCACCCCCACCCCCTCCAGCACCCCCCAAGCCAGTTTATATCCCCGTACCCACAAACAACACTGCGGAAATGTGCTCTATATCATGTCAAACAAACTTCGATGCTGCAGCTGCAGCAGCCAAAGCTGCCATAAAAGAAAATATCAACCCAAAAGCAAACTTTGAACGCAGCGCATCAGTGAGGGTACCTAAAAATGCGAAGAAAGAAGAAAAGGCATTGATCCCACGTAGCAAATCTATGAGGTTTTCAGAAGAGAAGAGTAAGCAAGTTGTGAGAGATATCAACCTGAAGACCAGTAATGTGCACCAGGAGAAAGATAAAGGTATGACTGTTAATTCGGGAAGAAGTGTTTCAGAATTAAATTAGAAATTTTGGGATGAGTTTGGGATTTTTAGTATGCAGGCATGTAGATTAAATGTTCAGGTTAAATTAGATTGACTATTTTCTATTTTCATACCAAAAATATATCGCTAAATATAAATTATTTCCTTTCTAGATTTTTTGAATTTTTGTACGATAGAGAATGTATTAAATGGTACTCTTCCTCCCTGTTTTACTGTTAACTTTCATGTAACTTCACTTAACTTAACCATCTGAATGTCACTCATAAAATCTTTTTCATTTCAGCTGAGAAAAAGTCCATACTGAGTAAACTATTTGGAAGAAATAAAGGATCTAAGAAAAAACCCGTGGAACAAGAGGGAGAAGTTCATGTCAAACCTCCCATACAGGAAGTGGAATATGCTACATTCTCTGCTCAGTTCCCGCCCCCAGATATGCAAATCTCCCAATTGAATGACTCCAAGGAGACAGGAACGCCATTCATCCCACCAGCTAATGGCTTCACCCCTGAGGCGACACATGCGCATATATTGCGATATCTAAAGGAGACGGCTCCTTATGTACAGAATGGTATCCCTCCGGAGTTAGCGAATTCAGTGTATGGAGGAACCCATAGTGGTTCTGGATGTCCCGTACATGACACACAAACCAAAAATAGGCCTAATATAGAGGGCAGGCCTAGTACTGACAAACAAGAACAACCACAAATAAATTTCATGCATGGTGATGAAGTTTTACATGAAAATCATTGTCCATATAAGGATTTAATGGATGATAAATCGACTGAACTTGAGAGTGAGGGAATACCTAAGGTGCGTAAATTCAGGAAAAAGCGACAACGGGATAAATTACGAGAAAGAAACCAGTTTGAATCAGTAAGTGAAGAGGTTGAGAATAACAATATAATAAATCAAGAACATCCGATAAATGGTCACGAGGAATCTGCGATCCATGAGATGCCTACACATGCTCATATGCAGAAACACATAGGATTATTCTTTCAAAGTCAAATGATGCGACAACAACAAAAGCAACAACCAAATGTACAACCTGGATTCAATGCCACACCTAGTGGTTTCCATGGTAACGATATATCTGTTCAGTACCATGGTAAAATGCCCAAGAAAAACTCAATGAAAACAAAATCATGTGACAGCGGGGTAAATGCAATAGGACTTAACCTAAGCCATGAAGAACGACGTGCCGAAAGAGCAGCGAGACGGAAGCGGGAATTACGTGAGGATTCCCGCATTCAGCGTGAAGATCCACAATCTCAATATCCCGATGAGGATCTACATCAGCAGGCGCCAAACATGATATCGCATAAACAATTGGCTTACCAACAACTTGCAGCTATGAAACAGTCCAGCCCCATAGAACCGAATATCATCATAAACCATAGTCAGAATTCATCAATGTTCCAACAACACTCATTTGGTGATTCTCAAATCCGAGATACATCATTGGACTCACATATAAAACACAGTACCCCTATTGAACATTCACAGCGAAGTTCCAGCGAGCCTCGACAACATAGTAATGACAATAGTATGAATATGATTAATGTGCCTACAAATTCACCCGAGACTCATATCTCAACAATTGACGATACTCATAAATTAAATTCAAAACCTGTATATCCTTTAAAAAAGGATGTGACCCGATCTCGGGGGCGCCGTGGTAAAAATGAAATCCCAGATAGCGGTCTCGGGAGTACTCACACAACTGACCAATCAGATTATAACAAATATAGTAGCATATCTACGTGTGAAGGGATGGAATTTGAACATAATCCAGCGAGGAAGTATATCGATAGAGTTCGCCAGGGAAGGAATGTTCTTCCGGATATTTCTGACAAAGAGCGAAGTAGGGAAACACTTCAAGCACATTCTCAGGAGAATATTCCCTCACATATCAAAGGATCCCATTTACAGCAGGAGAACACTCCCAATTTTAAAGTTCCCAGAGTGCCTCATCCTCATTTGCAATCATCAATGCCCGAATCGGCCCACTCAATGACACAATCGCAATCTGAGAACTCCATGCAGGGCGGTAAAAATCAGTTGCGACAAACTCGTAATAAAAATTCCAAAAGTCATGAATACAAAAGACATTCATATAATGGCAGTTTGAATGGACTTGACACTGCTATTCATAAAGACCCTCATATTAATGGTAATTCAGTGGAAACCACAATGTACAATGACTCTTATAACCATAGGATAAAAGGCATATCCAATGGGATGGACCTCCCTATGTATAAAGAAACTGATTTAGATGCAAATAGCGATAAAATGGCTCGGTCAAAAAAAAATGGGAGAGAGTATGGGCCTTTATAGCCCAACTGAAATTACAATAAGGGAATTAAAGTGAAACAAATCTAGAAATAGTAATAACCAAAAATAAATTGTAGTTCTTGTAATGCTTATCCAATGCAGTGATCTCCACAGGATTTTTTCTCAAGTGGTGTGCAAAATTCTCATTTTCACAATTCAGACCAAAATTAGTCAAAATATGCCAATTTTTCATGATTCTTCTCATTTTCAAGTGGGTGCAAATGGATTTTCAGGTGGGTTCAAGGCTGCAAGCTTATTTTCAAAATCTCAGGTGGGTACTGCGCCCACTTGCTTTAATGCTGGAGAGATCACTGCAATATCATTTCTCTAAAATTTGAATGAACTATCTGATTTTCATGCATTTTTATACAGTTTAGACTTCTTGTATTAAGAAATGTCTGAATTATTTTATTCCTTGCTGATTCCACTCCTTTTAACGTTTAGTTTTAAAAGATTGTATATGTAATTGTACATGGCGATTGTTTTTCATTGTAAATATGTGCTTAATTTATACCAATGCAAGGGTCCATTTAGATCAATGTTATTGTACCCAGGGGCTACCGACAGTGACTTATGGGTTTCTGTGTTTAAATGGGGCCTGCCCAGTGGGGCATGAGCTTAGGGCTTAATAATCCTTTTAAAAGGGAGAGTAGTATTCTAATTTATATTTATTTAATTATTGTGGTCAATAAATAGTCATTTTAGTTTTTTTACTATAGATGTCACCACCAGCTTGAGATGTTAATTTCATCAAAATCTTAAATGAAATAAAAAGTACAACTTTAATTTAGTAATTGTAAATTATACTTGCCTTTTATACAATATTTATTAATAACATGGAGTTTCGTTGGAGTTTTGTCAATATACCCGATTTCTATTTCATTTCGTGGACTTTCAAGAGAACTTTTTTCTCTCACATGCTCATGTTTATTTTTAATACGTCAATATATTTATGAAATTGTGAAATACATTTAACTTTAAATAGTAGAACATTATCTTCAAACAGTTAAACCAGATGAAAATGAAATTAGCTGATAAAAGTGATGTATGTTCGTTAAAGTAATATCATTTTTATGTACATTTAAGTAATATCATTTTGTATGTACATTATAGTAATATCATTTTGTATGTACATTATAATAAAATCATTTTGTTCAAATGCATGTATGCTATTTATTCTACCATTGGAAAGTAATTCAATAAAAATTTAATGTGAAAAAACGAAATTTGATGATTTGCATTACAAAAGTGTATATTCCTATTTGCTGCGATTTATTCTTGCCTCATATAAAATATAAATTAATGACATGAATGTTCATGAATTTTCTTTATTTTACCAGATTTAAAAATAGTTCATACGGTTAACATGTAATATATGTTTAAAATGGATGAAATTAGATGATTATTCTAACTTTGGAAAGCTATGAGGTATATTTGACATGAAAGCCTATTGTTTGTGTTTTATTGGGATTTTCTTTGTTTTAGACAATTGCTTCAAACCCCCAAATGTATCTTATTCATGCATCATTGAAAATGTAATTATTTCACAGTTGGAATATTTTTTGGAAAAATATTTAACTGTTACCTAATGTAAGTCGAAGTATTGCTTCAAATCCCTGCCCCCCCCCTCTTATGTACTTCACCTTTTGTACATTGTAGAAGTGAGAAGCATAGGTCAGGGGGGGGGTCAAAAGGACTTAATACAAGACTATGTAAAGTGTTGTGGTATTTGTATAATAAGTATGATCTCAAGCCATAAATGCCATTCCATATACAGTTATGTAAGTTTGCAATACTCAGCTAGAAGCCATGTAATTTATATGTAATATTTATAATGATGGAATTATATTTGACATTCTTGAATTAAGCAATGGAATTTCCTGTTTCTGACTTTCTAATTAGGTAATATTTTACATAGCATTAATCCCAAATATGTGTAATAATGATTTAAGCTTTTGGGTCATATACAGATTTCGCTTGATTTGAAAGTTACTAGAATTAATGGGAGACACGGTTTTGATCAAAGACGAGGTTTTCACTTCAGATCAGTTCCTCTTTTTCTATGGTTGTCAAAGCTAAAGGGATATAGGAACAAGATGTTGATCGCACGATGATTTTGAGTCATGTATTTGACCTGTTTGCTGAAATCATGTTTTTGAAAACCTCCCAAAAATAATACAAAAAGCATTTGGAAATTGTGCTATGCAGGTCACAATGGTAATCAATGGTAGTCATAAAGTCACCCGACCATTTTAGACAAATATCTCTATGTCAAAAAACACATGTATAATTTAAACATCTCTCAGGAAACATCTCTCAAAACCTCAAAAATTCAATGCCTCTTAAAGTCAAATATCTTGGCAAGTCAGAGCCTTACTGAAATAAGTGTATCAAAACCCATTCACATTTTCTGAATGTGTCAAGCAATATAATGTACTTGAAATCTTAATGGGTTACATTGACCCATTGTAACTTGTCTTATAGAAATACCTATTGTAATCTTAAAAGTTTCTTTGAAAAGCAAACATTTTTTATAAATTTTTGTAATGTTTGACATTTCACCTTCTTGTAATTCACAAAGTTCTTTTAAGCCCTTGTAAAATATTTCCTCATGTTCATTAGACCAGTTTTCCCGAAACATTTCATAAACATAATTTCCAAAAATTCAATATAAAGTTCTTAAGTAACAAAAGAACATTCGTCTTTTTTTTTAAAAAATCTCTTATAATACACTTGTTTGAAGAGCTCCCCTCTTGAAGTACTCCTTCTCAAAGATTTAAAAACTTGGGACATTTAAAGTCAGGATAAAGACATGCATAAACCTTACCCAAAACTTATTTCTTGTATGTTATTGATTTGATGTAAATGTCAACCACAAAGTATAGTAGACCTTTCCGATAAACCATTCCATTCTTTATGCTTCACCTAAGAAAGAACAAGTTTCTTATCTCAGCAAGAGGATGTAAGATTTTATGGAAAGGTATTGTTACTTATGATTTCATTGTACTGTAACTTGTAACACTTGTCACAGATCTCTGAAGCTTTGTATTCAGGATTTCTGTGAATTTTATCACAGAGATCAAGTATTGTACTTCATGTACATACATTTTGTATGTTTTTACTTTTTAACTGTACAGTTGGGTGGTTAAATATCAAGAAATATAAAATAATTCGTTGTTATTTACAAGAATATATTTCTGCATTTTTGTTATTTATATACAATTTGTATTTACATTGGATAATTATTAAAAGTAATTACTCAATATCAAAATATCCCTCTTCTCATGCTTATTACACTCCATTTCTCTCAATAAATTACTCTTTCTCATTTTATTTTACATTTTAAAAAAACACTATGACAAATATTTAACGCATGTACATGTGTACAAGAGTAATTCTGCAGGATTTTTTTTTATTAATCGGTATCAATGACCCATGACCATTCATTTCCTAACTTCATTTCTTTACTCTCAAACATTTTTAAGACTGAATAACCCCAAACATACAAATATAGTATTTATTTCCAAAAAGTTAGTCGAATATTCAGCAGCTGCGCAGTTTTCTCATATTCTTACATTCTGTGATAATCTACAAGATATACTAGATATTGTAACCAATTGTCCAATTGTTTCACATACATATATTATATCATATGGTGGTCATGTCATTTGGTAATATAAACTTGTACAATAAGTATAGCTGCATATAATTTGGAAATATATACTTGTACAATAAGTACAGCTGCATATAATTTGGAAATTTATACTTGTACAATAAGTACAGCTGCATATAATTTGGAAATATATACTTGTACAATAAGTACAGCTGCATATAATTTGGAAATATATACTTGTACAATAAGTACATCAACAAATATTGGGGAGTTTAAGCTTGCAAATAAAATCGAAACACCAACCGATACGTATGACACCAAAAAAAATTGGGGCAAACATTGCAAGCTCACACTCACTTATTTTCTAGCCCTGTACACTCAAATAATTTTTCATACACCGAGAGTGACATCTATTAATAAATGTTTGTAAATCTATTCTTAAAGATAGTATAGGTGTCACCTTGCCCTTATCTTTATATTTGTATGAACACGTATGATACAGAACATATTCCTATATTACATATTATTTGGAAAACAATTTGATATAAATTTGAAACAGTCATATTATTGAGAATTGAGATGCTGTTTGTTCATTGAGTGCTTAGTTGTTAAGGAGACAGCAGCAAAGGGTTGCCCAGCAACAGGCTAGTAAACAACAATCCTCGGCAGCCTGATCACCCCGCCCTCTATCGTAGCCCCCAGCATTGCTTTGGACATATCTGAAATACAATCACAAACAAAATTATGAAAAAAATTTAATTCTGGAAGTTTTTTTGTAATTTGCATTCTTTTTTACTCAACCTCCACCACTTCCCTATTGAAACAAGACTCTAATCAAGATTCTAATACAAATATATTTTAACATGCTATCCAATGGGGAGTACTTGAATTGAAAAGAGCACGGTATGTACTTTCATTACCACTTAAAAACTACACCAAAATCACAAAAATATTTTTTTCTTTTCACAACCTTTATTTTACTAAACTGGACGTTTCGGATCCTGTCTGGATCCTTTTTCAACTGTATAAAAACGGAACTGAAGCGCTACAAAACAATTAAATAATAAAAATTTTGCAAAACATGTCACAATATAGGACAAACCTCAAGACCTTTAAAAGTTAGAATTAAAGAACATAAGATAGAAGCAGATTCGAGGGACAATTCAGGTTACACGCGTCAAGCAAAAGAAAATATGAGAGGGGTGATGAATAAATCAGCCATTACGGACCACGTCCTTCAGAATAATATATTATTTTTATATTATTTGGATCATCAGCCAAATTGGGCGTTTGTCAATTCGGGATAAGCATTCCATTGTTTCCATGCTGTTGTTTTGGATTTACCATGGAATCCAGATGTGGTGTCTGAACCAGTGAGGGCATGAAATAAGCCTTATAAGTCCAAGGGAAGCTGCCATTTCATGGGTTGGATAATTTTTCACATTTCCAAAAGCTATCCATCCACAACTACAAGACATTTAAAGAACAGTAAACAAAGACGAATGTAACCAAGGAAACATTAAAAAATGACTGTGCCCTTTTCTCAAAATGACAAATTACAGAAGTGGATGGTTGCAGGGCCTGAATTAGCCAAACTGATCACCTAGTTTGAGAATAATATATTTGATGATCAAGATGAGGTCCTATCTAATCATGAACAAAGCAAAAAGTATTCAACAAAAGTTTAAAGATGATGTAAAACATTATCAGACATCATTGAAGAAATGGAAAATCTTTTCCTGGAGACATCAACAGACTTGTACTCCTTAGACAACAACGGAGTTGTATCATCAACATTGTTATAGTGAAGTGGCCCTTCAGGAAGGCTTCATAGATCTCTGGGTGTTTTTCTTGTAGTTGCACCACATCCCTCAGATGTACTGGAACCCATCGAGCATAGTGTGAGAGGTCAAAAATGAAAAAAACAGGGGAGAAGCTTGCTTATTGATTGGTGGTAAAAGGGAAGTTTTCTGATAGCCCTCACGTAGTTAAGGCAGAGGAGTTCAATTTGAATAACTAGAAACCAAAACTTGAAAACTGGTACATGCTGTTGGGCATTACACCATTCATCAAACTCTTATTATAATGCCAATCTGTCTTAACTATGAAGGAAGCATGCTAAATCTGCAATATAAGCATATTTAAACACATTTTTAAAAATAAAAAATAAATTCTCTCTCCCCCACCTCCATGATTTGGTGGGAGGGGGCATTTGTAATTATTTTCGTTGTTCTAGTGGACAAAAATGTCTCATGCTCTTAAATCAAAGATAAATGTATATAGAAGATATATGGAAAGTTTCGCGCTTCGTTCCATGAATGAACTATTTCCCTGTTTACTTGAACTATAGTCTATTGATCTCGCTATATTAGATAGATGCCTTCACTAGTAGGCTATTCTCTGTACTTGTGTCCTTGCCTCATTGTGAGTAGCGAGTGTAAATTATTTTCGGAAACATGATTACGATGTTTTCCCTCTAATATGAATTGGAGATATCTGACAAAATATGGAAAGCCTAAAATATAAATTTTGTGTTTTTGAACATGCGGAAATATCTTGAACACTTTGAAACTGAAGTACAGTTCATTAACAGGTTGTTCAGTTTTCTTGTTTTTGTTCTACACAACACTTGTGTTTAATAGCCACGCGTAATTATTAATAAGCGTAATCAGATTATTTCAAGCGTCGAAATAGCTTATTTTCCTCGACGTATCTACACAAACCTATTCACTTAACGTTATATTGAGCGATCTAGATGCGTCAATTATAATTGTTTTCACTCATCGGCTTTAGTGACCCGCGATACCTTTTATTTCATTCATTTTAGACGCAATTGATATATTGGCAACAAATCACCAATGTTCTAAATGATTCTTCTTCATTTTGGAATGTTTCTCCTACCCGATATTCAAAGATGTGTCTTAAATATTATACTTTACATTTATCACGATTCTTGTACTTTCTGTCTTTACGACTCCCTTTCACATTTGCAAGAGTTGTTGATTGCATTGCCTTGATCGTTGGTCGAACTTCGATTCCAACTAAATCAGATTAATCAATTAAGAAACACCATGTTTATCCAAGCAAATAATTGTAACAACTACATTATTTTTTAGCAGTTTTGACACCTAAGCAGGGTAGCCTAGTGGCGTAGACTGAGGCTACTTTGCGGTTGAACGTCGTGGGATACGGAGGTCCCGCGTTCGAGCCCCAGGTACGGAGTTGTTGATCATTGTCACTACGGACACCCGGTCCGAAGGTCCAACCGTTTACCGGCCCTTGGCATGGGTTGGTTCTCTGGCCGCTCTTGCCGGAGACAGATTGTGAGACTGTGGTTGGTTCCTCCACTAACGTGCTTTAGTAAACTCCGGGAGTCATATAGTATGGTAGCGGGCCCCCACCAAGGGCAGTAGTGGAACGACGCGAATCGGTCCCAGTATGGTTGCCTTGCAACTGAAGAGACTCGAGGAAATCATGCCATTCGCAGTGACCCAGAAAAGACTTTTGCTTCTTAATTTGACGTTTTAATTCATTTATTTACATACTTTATTCATATTACTTTCCAGGCAGTTATGATTTTTATTGGTCAAATGAATGAACGAGACATCTGGATAGTTTTACAACTTTAAAAAGTGAGCAATGTCATTAGTATTGTGATAATAACGTCCCTTATACCTATTTATTACAGGTCATGCAGACCATTGTTGCAACAATGGTCTGCATGACCTGTAATAAATAGGTAATTTATAGCAAAAACATTGACTTTTGCACGTTGGTGATGATGCGCTTTTTTAATAGATCTCATATCTAAGAAGGGTATCAGTTCAAAAAAATACTAGATGACCTAACATATTTTGCTATGCACTGCGCCTATTTATTTGGCAATTCAGTTGTAAATTTTCTTGCAGAAATCGCCTAATACTCCATCATTTTTGTACGATCACCGGGCGTGAAAACAACGGTTTTGGACAATGACAATAAGAGACTTGAACGATGGATTAAAGAATCTATTTTTATAAAGAAAAACGATAATAATATGAACATCAAGGGAACTATAAATCGGCGGGAATTTGAAATCATATTTAATTGTTTTGTAGCGCCTTTGTTCAGTTTTTATACAGTTGAAAAAGGATCCGAAACGTCCTGGTAAGTAAAATAAAGGTTGTGAAAAGAAGAAGAAAATATTTTTGTGATTTGATAATCCAACCTGAAGAACATGTTTAAGACTAAGTACTTACACTACACTACACTGTACTATTAGATTGGAAAAATCAATGAGTTTAAAACGCAAATTCTATGCCTCACCTAACCTAACTTCCTTAACATTTTATTTAGAACTATACATTTGCAAATCTAACTCTCTGTCAATGTTATTTTGAATTGAACATGTATTGAGAATTCATGTCATGACATGACCGATTTATTTGATGTTTGTATTATCCCAGGGTCCGCTATATTTGAGATAGCATTAACTTTACAAATACCTTTTCTGAAAAGAAGTGTTTTATCAATCCAAATTTCCCTTTTGGTTTGATAATACCAGATCGAAAATGTGAGATTCAGTTTGACATTATTTGATAATTGTTATCTATTGAATGGGGATGGGGAAGCGCAAAGTCTAAATGTCTGATAAGGAAATGTATTCCATCAATATAAGTTATTAATAGTCATTTTCAAAATGCAAAAAAGAGTAAAAAACAGAGGAATTAGCAAGGAGTAATATAAACACCCATGTCCTGCACACTCTAAATTATGTAAAAATGCCAGGATATTAAACACTTTATTCAAATTAAAGTGAGAAATAATGTGAAATATGCAACGTACAGATGGTATTTGACATTGGGATAACACGAGAGACAATAGTCGAATTGTTGATAAATCATAAATGTAACATTCAGTGTTGAACTTTACGAGTTTAGGTCACAAAATCATTGATTCTATCTGATTGTACATGTATTCAGAGCTTTATATCTCAGTATATTAGAAATTAAAAGTATGGCTGTAACAAAGCGCTTCAGGTGAATCAACACGATCTGAAACAATTTCATTAATATGATAAGGCCGTCTGCTAACATTCATTTCAATATTTCTCTTTAAAATTTGAATGAAGTATCTAATTTTCTTGCATTTCTAAACAATTTAAAATGTTGTCTACATGCCTGTTTACTTTATTCCTTGCTGATTACGCTCATTTTTCTCTAAAATTTGAATGAAGTGTTTAATTTTCTTGCATGTCTAAACAATTTCTAGTGTTGACTACATGCCTGTTTACTTTATTTCTTATTTATCTCCTTTATTTCAACTTTATCTCATCAATTAAAATGTGACGATCACATTATTTAGTGTAGCCCTCATAAAGATCACATAGCTGTGAATCATACTGTTTGATAACCTTATTTGTTCATTCAATATCATGGGGCTTCTGATTTATCCATATTTAGCAGAGTTGATTTTGAATTTTTCTGAAATTTGATGTACTTATGGAATATGATAAGATTTATATGAGTTTAGGCAAACAAACAAACAAGCAAACAAACAAACACACAAACAAACATCTTACATTGTTTTCTGTTGAGGTGGCACTTGATAGTTATATGTGGTGTGGGTCTGATAGCTAGGTTGTGGGGCTGCACCAAATGGGGCTTGCCCTGGGGGATACGCTCCCGCAGGGGCTCCCTGATTATATGCTCCTGCGGGTGGAGGATACGCTCCAGGAGGGGGCTGTTGACTATAGGCTCCAGCTGGTGGTGGGTAGGCTCCTGCAGGGGCTTGTTGATAAGGGGGAGGCGCACTTGCCATACTTATATACTGCTGGAATAACATAAAATACTAAATAACCAGTCTTGCCAATGGGAGGGGGTAATGAGAGGGCATCAGAGAGCACATAAAAACAAAACAAACCAAATCGCAAAAAGAAAAATCCGATAAAGTGAACTGATTATTCAATAAAAAACCATGACCTCTAATTGGACTGAAAATATTTAAAGTAACAAAAAACAGGATCCATGAGTGTAAAACTGGGTCTAACCCAAAGGAATCAAAAGGTAGTTTCAGGGGTGGGTGATTGTTTTTGAGAGTTTCTATAAGTGCGTATAGTTCAACATTTATCCATATGTCAATTAAATTGTGTAAGACTGGCATATCCTGTCATATGACATTTTCTCAGAACTACAGGGTGGTCAAAAGTGGACTGCCGAAAAGCTACATGCCATCAATGACTAATATTTGAAACATATTAACTCTGAAAGGTGTAGAAAGAGGCAACTTTGTACTGGCTAGACAAACCTGAATTCATCAATATATCATATCATAGTTTGTGCTTTCATTTTGCAGTGGTTACTCTGGGTTGATTGTTTTGATTTTTCAATTGTTGCCCTTTGAGTATTTTTAAGAGAGAAACCAAGTGGGATTCCATATAATCAAGTTACTGACAATGAGTGGGTTGGATCTTCCCACGTGTCCAAATTATGCAATATGAATGAGTCCTACTATCTGGGTTACAATGACCCAAGCAATAAATATCATCCACTGATGAGGTGGGTGGATGGAATTTGCACCACTTTAAGTCTGACGAGGATGGAAAATTCAAGTTTCATTTTCTTTCTATCAGATTTACAAATAAACTTCCTGGTTAGATTCTTTGTATCTATGGACCCCTGTGAACCATAATAATTATTTCGAGAATGAACATCATTCCCATTCCTTATGACCAATATCCCCCACACTGACAATTTCTGAAGGTGTATTTTATCTTATATATCACCTCATTATTTTACCTCATGTACATAAAATGGCATGATGTACATATCAGTGGTTGTTCTGTCTTGGAATTAATTCATCCTCCGCAAGAATTGTCATAAGGAAGTACAATGTTACCACAACCCACTTTGTGAGATCCATTTCCCTGAGTTGATTAATTTTGGGTTTGGTCGCCATGGTATTGGTGATAATCTTGTACATGTGATGTCATAGACTGTTCAAGAACATGATGGTGACCACTGAAGTAATATTGAATCACGGTTTTATTGAAAGAAAAAAGGTTGATAGATTTGAACTTTGAGGCTCAAGAATTTTGGGTCAGTTTTTGTTTTTATGGACTCTTTATCATAATATCAAATATATAAGTAAGATATTATGTGAATCAAATAATCATTGATGACAGGAATAATAAGAAAGTCTGAACACTTACTAAACAATTGCTTATATTGAGTCAAGGCTTGCTCTATTGACTTCTTTTTCCTTCTAGACGAATTCCTGTGATATTGTATGGTCTATTTTCTCCCCCCCCCGCTATCACAGCATTCATTACTTGTCTTCTTTCAGCAGCTTTCTAACCTTATGTTTACTAGATTTGCACATAGCCATATTTAGATTCTAAATCTAAAGATGGCTATGTGCAAATATAGTAACCTTTTATGAGGATCAAAGAATTGTACTTACCAATATCAGAAAATATTGCCAGACTTTCTAATGCGTATGTGTATGGACTGGCGTGTTCTCTTGTATTCCTTAATGCAGTGTAAAAACAAACAGAAATGAAACTGAATTTACTTACTAGTATATGGTGTGTAAGGTGCACTGGATAAATACATGTACAAATTAACAATCATGTGATAAATCATGTGACGATCTATCACAATAACATCCGTCTGCTAATGTTTATTTTAACAATTTCTTGATAGAATTTGAATGAAGAATCTAAATTTGATTTTTTACACAATTTACAGTTTGGAATCCACGTCACTTTTTGCAAATACTTCATTTTGTTTTCTTTTACTGGACTCAATTTTACATTTTGCTGCAAGAGTCAAAAACACAGTTCATCTCAACAGTAATAGTTTCTAATTCTATTGAAAGATGGCAGGTATAGCAATTAGATATTTAAGTTTAGTTATAGTTTATTTATTTATTTATAGTGGCCAGTCTAGTCTCTTGTAAGCATGTGTTAAATACATTTCTAAATGAGAACATATCCATAAATTGATATAACTTGCAGTAGTGAGGTTTTTATATTTACTCATGCAAATGTATTATAAAATATAATGTATTGCTGTTATTTTCATTATTGTATATAATATTGTTTTGTATTTATATGTCATGTATAATGTTTAACTCTCCATAGTTTGGAGGAAATATTGATTAAACAAACAAACAAACAAACAAACAAACAAACAAACAACCCCTGCAAAACTCAACCCAATGTTTCAACTCAATCCATTATAACCCAACCCCACGTCAATTCGTCCCCTGTAAAACTCAACTCCATGTCAAGCCAACCCATTAAAACTCAACCTCAAGTGATCAATTCATATCTTAACTCAACCTAGCTCATGTCAACTCAAACCTATTCATTTCTACTATTTGTTTGAGTTACTTAGTTTTTACGTATATTCATTTTGTATGACATTTCATATACAGGGTGGTCCAAAAAGATGTATACATTGTTAATAAAGTAGGATTTTCTATTGAATATGTTAATGCTTGATCAATTGAAACTGGGAAATAAAACTTTAGATCTCTAACTATGATTTACCTGAAAAACATAAACTTCGATTAATTTTTGCAGAAATGATAGCCATTATAAAATGGATACTTTTTTTGGTCTCCTTTGGATTATTTTTTGTTGGAATACCAAAAAAGGTCAATGCGAGCAATCCCAAAACTATTGATGCACTCGAGAATAACTTTTGATAGAATATTAGGAAAATTACCCATGACAATACAAAAAAAACTTAGGCTTACATGTCTGTTAGACAGGTTTATGAAAAGAAAATTATATAAATAGAAAATGTCGCTTTGTCAAAAATGTATACATCTTTTTGGACATCTTAGGTCAGTAATAATCCATCAAGGTGTCACAATTAACTGATTGAGCAACATTTGAAAAAATGAAACGTTAGATATTAGAAAATGAAATAAAATGTTGGCAACATCAATGTAATTTTTGGCAGAGAACGAAAATGAGAAACGTTTATATTACCGTATACTAAGGATATATAAATATACTGTATACGCATTGCTGACCTTGTAACGCCAAGAAGTCAATGTGCATATCTTTGAAAAAAGAAATCAAATGTAATAAACGTATCCAAAATGATATTTTTAATACATCACATAAATAAATTGAAAGGACACTTTTTGCACCATAACATTTAGTTTGTGAGTATATGTGTTAATTCGAAATACTACCCGACATAGATTTAGATTGATAAAGTGATATAACATCGCTTGTATGTCTCAATATATATCTTATGACTATAACTTATTGGCTTTTCAAAATGAGTTTATGGGGCAATAGAACAAAGAAACAATGACAACCTCCTGTTGCGTCAGGATAATAGAACAGCCGATAATGTTACACATGAGGAGACCATTGCTGAACATCACGCCTAACCATCGACAAGGTACAGTGACAAAATATACTGTTGTACACTTTTGATGTACGGTGTCACTTTTCTTACTGATATGAAGCAAAAATTATGATGCAGGTGTGATATAGGTTTTAAAAATGAATCTGAGGAATACATAAAGAATTTCATGTTTGATTACATGTGTATTCGATTGGGAAGACTGTTAGCTTTTTGATTCGTTAAAAGATTTTTGAGCAGTGCTCGATTTTTTTCGTAGTAAATCTACCCAATATCAATGATCGGTTGGAAAATGTTGTTTTTTCGAATTCACATTTCATTTGATCAATTTCGCCTGACCTGTTTGATAGAAATTCTTTCAAATAATATTTTCTTTGAAGGCGAGTGAATACGGCCTTCATCTTTTCAATAACACATGGACTATATTCATTATAAAAGATCATCCGATAATGTCACACGTGAAGAGACCATTGCTGGACATGGAACTATAGAATGACGGGAGTTGTTTGATAATATAGTATATTGCTTTCAAATGATGTCTTCTGTGAAAGGGAAAGAACACCTTTATATCCTTCACCTTGCTTGAACTTAATAAAAGCACAGATGCTATAAACTAAAAAAATATACTGAGTAAAAATGAGGACTATATAGAGGAAGCTAAACGTTGCTTGACATTTCAGATGTTAAGATATAATATCTGTGTGTTATAAAATGACACGAAGTGATACAAGATCAGTGTTATTTGCCATATCAATTGGTGTTCTGACTTCCATTTGTAAGGTCTTGATTGGACTAACATTACAGGAAATTAATGAGAAACGTATCACGAACTTTGAACTTGGTTTTCTGAGAATGATCATTCAGTTGTTGATTGGATCAATATGGCTGTACAAAACGCAACATAATGAGACAGGATCGGAATATATAAATTATCAGAATGGATCTGTGGACTTACTCAATAGTACCTTATACTGTGTTTCAAATTATTTCTTTTTGCTCGGATTGCGATCAGGCGCAGGAATGGGAGACTTATATTCTTTGATTTCCTCAACCAGAATTATAATGGTTGTCATTTTTGCAAGGATTTTTATCAAAGAACCAATACATTTTATTTTAGTGATATCAGTTGTAATTTGTCTACTTGGAAATATTGCAATCACACAACCAGATATTATATTCCAAACAGCTAATCTCGGCATCCTTTTGCGGCCTTTATGGAACAATAGTGAGAACTTTGAGCAGAATATTACAAGCAAACATGATATATTAGAGTCCCCCATCTGGCCTGGGTATATCGCAGCTGCTACTGGTGCCACCTGTCGGGCTCTTACTGTTATTATCACCAGATGGAGCTTGCATGAAAAAACGATTTCGACGACGGCACGTATTTCCGAAGCACGCTTGGTGTTTAATATTGCGGCAATTGGCGTTCTTTTCTATGGAACAGGTTGCTTTTTTCAAGGATTTTATTTTCCCGATAATCTTCATGATATTATATGCGTTCTTGGCTATGCGATTTCGTCAGCCCCCTATATCATTTGTTATGTCATGACTTTAAAATTACTCCCAGCTTCAGCTGCAGCAATCATTTTTTCTCTCTCTATAGTATTTGGAACTTTATTTCAGTACACATTATTTACAAAAACACACAAAGGAAACTCTAATATTTTAGAGATTGTAGGAGTTGTATTAGTTTTGATCGGAGTAACCATCATGCCTCTGAGACAAATTTGTCAAAGTGAACAAATTGTCGAGAAAAGTCTGCAGAAACATCAGATTATATCAAAGGATGCAACTAAAAACAGTTTGCCAAAGAAGCGTTTTTATTTCCCCCAGTCTATCAAATAGGAGAAATAGCTGAGGTAAAGAGGTAAACCAATGGTGCACTCAAGCCCCGGACTCGAGCTTGTTATGTTGTAAGCTCCGTCAAGATCAGGCAATTTTTCTTACAATGCTCATGTTATGGCTAAAGGCCCGGTCACACCGCCCGGACGTTGCTGGAGCGTTCCTTGAACGTTGAAAAAATTCATCGACGCTCGTCAACGCGCACAAAATGGGGAAAAAAACAAAAACACGGGCGTTGGCTTAGCGGTGCACCGCTGAAGCCGGCGTTGCTTTAGCGTTGGTTAAGCGGTTGCGAGCGGTAGCTAGCGTCTGTTTGGCGGTAATGCGAGCGTTGGTATAGCGGCGTTCTGCGCATGAGAGCGTTGCCTCGGCGGGGGTATAAATAGCAACAGCGTTGGTCTAGCAGCATATCGCGTTTGACTACTGGGGAATTATTTCAAGTGGGAAGTGTTTAAGAGTAAAGACCTTTATTGGAATTGTAACTTTAACAAAAGTCCTTCAAGGATTAAAGAAGAAATGTTTTAAATCTAAAGTGCTTCTATTAATGTAATATTACATTAAGTACAATTTTCTTTAATAATCTCTAATATCATTTTAAACAAACATATCACAATTTAATCGTTGCATTTCCATTACTTGGAACCGATTTACGTTCAAATTGCTTCAACAATGTCAAATAACATTTACAGCAAAGTAATAATCATGACGCATGACAAATTTTTGCATTGCTGTGTGCGCATCAACTTTTTGTATAATACCATGACGAGTGCAACATTTCACAAGCTGCGCAGAAAATTCACAGATAATTTATTGAATTGCTTGACGTGAAAACACTAGGTATACTATATTTGAATAAAGGTCTCAGTAAAAGTCTATTTGTATTAACATTTAATGAAAAACAAAAATCGCATAATTCACCTTTTTAAAATCCAAAATCACAAACTTTGAGCGCTTAATTTAGGAATTTACAATGCAAAAAATTGAAATGCCAGACATGAATATATATCAAATGTAAAATGCACAAGTGTCTCCGCAGTGTTCTACACAGTGGTGCATTTCTCCACGTATTTATAGCCAAATTCTGGTCCCGCTCCGACACCTCTATACCAACGCCAAAGCAAAGTTCATCGCCGCCATGGAACGCTGCGACAACGTCTGACACCGTTCCAACAACCCCATGTACGCTGATAAAACGCTAACAACCGCTCCACCGACGTTTGTGCAACGTTTAATCGCCGCCCGGGCAACGCTGGCGAAGCAGCGGTGGTCCAGCGTTTAAGATTTCTGCGTTGGTCTAGCGGATTCAAGCGTCCACGAACTTGCGTCTAGCGGTGCCAAACTTTGACTGGGCGTTGGTGGAGCGGTGATAAACTTTGCCAGGGCGTAAAAGTGTCCCTTTTTCAACGCTCGCAATATTTTGAGCAGCTCAAAACCTTTGTAGCGTTAGGATGGCCACTCGAGAAACATCCGCGTTGGCCGAGCGTTTACAGCGTTGCTTTAACGGATGCCAACTTTTGTTAAACGGTGGTGAACGTTTACGAGCGTTGATGATTTTTTTCAACGTTCAAGGAACGCTCCAGCAACGTTTAGGCGGTGTGACCGGGCCTTAACTTTTATACCAACGTGACTAAGTCACAGATTTAAAACCTTGAATATGGTGGTTGACTTGTCAGAAATATCCCAAATATCAAAGCCACTGTAAAACTATGATGCATTTGGTATGTAACTCCCATGCATTTTAAAAATACGAACTACTTCAATGGTTCAAAACGATGCATATTGTGTATAACCTTTGTGAAACTGAAACATTTGAACACTTTATAGTAAGATGCCCTATGTATGAGCAATAATAGGCATAACATATCTGAAGCCCTTGGCTGTTGTAGTGACAGTATGGATGTTATTATGAAGAAAGTTTTAGGTTTTTCTGATATTTCATGTGAGACGTTAATAGTTGTATCATCATTTGTACACAAAATGTACAATCACAGGGCTCTGCTTGACACATAATTTCTTTATCACTTTATCTTTATGTTTTCTAAAACAACAACTTTTTATCAGATAATTTAATCTTATACTAATTATATTTTATATGTAACCTATATTTATGCTAAAATGTATTCTCTCATATAAATGAGGCAATAAATATACAATACAATAAGAGCAACTCAATTGTGCATCCGTTTGGAAATCTTAAAATTACAGGCCATGTTGAAAACCTGATAATTATAGCCACCCTTTTGAAAATCTGAAGAATTACAGCTACCCTTTTGAGAATCTGAAATGTACAGCCACCCTTTTGAGAATCTGAAATTTACAGCCACCCTGTTGAAAATCTGAAAAATTACAGCCACCCTTTTGAGAATCTGAAATTTACAGCCACCCTTTTGAGAATCTGAAATTTACAGCCACGTTTTTGAGAATCTGAAATTTACAGCCACCCTTTTGAGAATCTGAAATTTACAGCCACGCTTTTGAGAATCTGAAATTTACAGCCACCCTTTTGAGAATCTGAAAATTAAAAGGCACTCCTTTCAAAATCGTTTGCACCGTTTGTTCAGGGTTTACTCTATTATTGCAAGATTAAATTTGAACAAAAATACACATATTTTAATTTTTTAAACATTAAAATGTAATTTTTTATTTGAACTTATAGCCTTATTAAGTGTTTTAAGTACTACAACTGTATATAATTATGAACGTTCTAGCTACTGTACTTTCAGATCAGTTGACCTACTGGGTGTTTACTAAACAGAATGTCCTACTGATCACCCTGTATATTGACATCCCCTAGCTACACAGAAGGACATTTTTGAAAAGAACTAAAATCTCAAGATTTTACTTTATAACATAATGCTACAAAACTAAATAATATTACAAATTTTGTTATAGATAACATGATTTTTTTCACATAAAGTGAAGAAGCAGTTATAAATGTACAAGTCTATTCCATTACTGTATTTACTTTAATGTACATTTATACAAAATTGTACAATTCAAACTATGTGACAATACAATTCTCAATTCCATCAAAAATACCTTGTGTGTTATGTAAAAAGCTGAACACAGATCATAACTACGTATTTAAGAGTTCAAAACAATATATCTAATAATAATAAATAAACACAACAGGTAAGACAAATTGCCAATGAGGGGTGTTGTCAAATTATCAACAGTTGTAGAATTTAATTTCATTAGAGAGGGAGGGGGTAAATGAGGGGATGTTTCTGCAAGCAGAGTTAATTTTTTTAATATTCAAGAGAAAGACAAATCAAAAACTTAAAATTCTTTAGATGAGGGGAGGGGGTCAACATATAACGAAATTATCTTTGTTTCCACATGAATGTTGATAACTGGACCCCAATCCTTTATTTTGGTTGATTTGGTTACCATGGTGAATACTTATTTGTTTCTTTCGTATAGCTTGTTTCTTATATTTTGTTTCTTATATCTAGTTTCTCAAGAATATGATAAAACTAAATCATAAATGAAACTACAAAATAATATGTACACTTACTTGTACACTGGTTATGAAATTCTTCATCCAAACTCATCTAGAATTTGAATTTATCTAAATAGTGCTCATTTAAATTGCTAAATGGTGCTGCATTTGAACAAGATACACAGGGCACAAATGAAACCATGGCCTTAAGCATACCAAAACAGTAAATGTAAATATTTGTGTAAGTTCAAAACATTTTATTCGCTTGACAAATGTACAAAATTTGCACTATTTTTAATTCTGTTTTATTGCTCAATTGCATCAATTCAATTGATGATAACGCCATATCACAAAATGATAAAACAATTAAATGAGAAAACATCCGAACCATCAACAATTGATTATAGCTTAACAGTCAAGAATTAATTGAAAAACAAATTTTCAGGAACCAATTCAGTAAATCATGGAATATTTTGCGACGCTTTTGCGACAATGTCATTTTATAATTTCATTTCAAAAATATGATTAATTTAGTGCTAATTCAAAAATAAATCCCACAATTTTGTTGACAAACGTTGCTATCTTCAAAGTATGACATCATAGCCGATAAACCTTAAATTCTTTATTTCACCGAAGGGGTCAGGAAATATTTGATAAGTCTAAGGATATCATATTTATATCATGGCCTTGTTCACTATGATGGAAGAAGGTTGGTCTAAGCACATGATAGCTTTGGAATATAGCATGACATTACCACCTTAAAGTATGCGATACTAAATTCCGGGTTATTAACATTCATTCAGAGAAGATCAATTATTTGGCTCATTATATTCAAATAAAGCGCATGAGTTATTATTACACAAGTAAAAATCTACAATAAAATGGATTATTTATTTATTATATCTAATTTACTTAATTTTATATTATATCTAATATACATGTATTCTATATGGCATTAAATATAAAGCACTAAAATATCTACAATCTTGTTAAACATGCAACATAATTCTTTAATTTGATACTTAACATACTGATATCACATTGTGACAGCATATTCATTGTGACATTATATTCATTGTGACATCATATTGTGACATCATATTCATTGTGACCATCTCCTGAGATGATAATTACTTATAAACACTTAGATTTCACATTATAAACACTGAGATTTCACAAAATCTTTCAAGAAAAGTTTGACAATTTCAGGCAAAAATCATTTTCATTTGTAAGTTTCTACACCTATTACCACCTAATATCATATACAGGGCGATGATCAATAAATAAAACTGAAAAACAAATTGTGACGGAAGTCTTACAAATAAGTGAACTTAATAAATTATACATACAGTAAGGTACTCAGATTTATTATATCGTTGGCTTTGGAGAATTTCAGAGACAAAATAAAATTCTGAAGCTCAAACCGATACATAGCTTTTCAAAAGCCGAAATAATGTATTTCATTGTTCAATAATATCATTCCTCCTTTATTCAGTATCTATGTTGATTATAAAGTATAAATAATAAATATATATAACTCAAAGATATAATCTTAGTATAATTGAACATATCCTATACATTTAAATAATAGTTATGGGGTCAACGCATGAGACCCTCAAGAACAACATGGTGGCTAAAATATTAAAGGAAAAACAACAATATCTACTATTATATGTGTCTTGCTATTATACTTGTTCCATAATTATATGTGTCTCACAATTATTTAGTAAGCTGTATAAAAATGCAAACTGTACAAAAAGCCAGAAAAGGCATTTTCGATTTGAATACAAGTTATAACCACCATTTTGTTGGGAAATCACCTAGCAACTGTAAGTGACATGTAAACCCCATTAGCGCCAACTATACATATTTTGTCACAATAAGTGTTGCCTAGTCACCAGTGGTGCCATCTTTTCATTAAGGTCCCTATTAGCAATCTTACGTCACCATTAGTGTTACTAAATTCACTATTAGTGCAACTCAAGTCACTATTAGTGTGCTTAGGTCACCACTAGTAATGATAATCTCGCACATTATTGGTCTGTCTATGGTTTGGCTGAGTGGGTAACTCAGTGTATCTATTATCTATAATATCAGTTTCTCTTGCATATGGGTTGGCAGTGTATTGCTCATGGTCCGTGAAAAAACTACTTGGGACATGCTCCCAAGACAGGTTATTGGAGGTGGCGTGAGAGTGAGGGTTAGAGTGAGGGTCTTCCGTGTGGGGGTTCTGTAGAGAAATCCCCTGGTGGTTGTGAGGGAGGAGCTGGGATTCCACACCCGTTTCACTATCACTGCTGTCTGTATCACTTGAATCTTCAGTGGAGCTCTCCGCTCCTCCTTTCTTTATCCCCTCCTCGTTTGAAGATTCAAGCCTAGTTAACTCAGGCTCTGGGTCAGTATCACTGGGCATATTATTTTCATAGTCACTATGCACAGGTTCGTCATCATCTATGTTTATATTTACAGATTGGGGGGCAGGTGCCACTTTATGGGGGTGGGGATCACCCTGGCTGGATTCAGTTCTAGATAATTGGGAGGGAGAGTTACGTTTTGAGCCCTCCTGGTCCGACTCCACAGCAACGGGGACTATATATTTGTTGTTGTTAGATGTCGGGCTAGATATTGCAGGTAGGCGGGGACGTTTCATAACACTTGCTGCACCCCGGGGACGCTCATTTTCCTTAGGGACATCCCCTGGTGGGGTGAACTGACGTCGTTGCTGGCCTAGAGGTGGCGGAGTCTGATAGAATTGGGAGTCTGACTCCGCTAGATGGTTTGAATGATTCCCAAACATCTCCGGCTCAGTTTGCGTCATCTGAAAGTGAAAAAATATTTTTAATAATTTTACTTCTAGATTTACAAACATTTCAATTCAATCTACAACAGTAAAACTAGTGCATATTATAGCGAACATTTCCGAACCCAGATAAAAGTGTTTACATTGAGGGGTGCTCCTATACTCAGATTTTACAGATCTATTAGTTATCGGAAAAATTAAATTTAAACATATAATACCAAAAAGGATAACCATTTGAAACAGTATAGCATACACCCTATATTAATTGAGAATACCATTTTATGCATTAACATCTTATAAATTTGAAACACAGAACCAAACCTTTAAAACAAACACATTGAAATTGAAAAAGAAAACCAATTCCAGAAATGTTAAGTTTACAAACCAGAAAAATCATGCTGTTATGTATTAGATTTTACTGAGCCCCGACATAAGGTAATCTCTCTCTATTCATCTATTTTCACTTTAATGTCCAAAAGTGCCATTTTGTGCCAAAACATGAAATTCATTTTCCTAAAACTCTTGCTAATACAGACGTCATCATATCATAAGTTTGTTTGTGGTATCATTGAATCATCTGTCGAATGAAGGACCTCACTTTTGTGTATGTGTGTATGATACCGCAAGCAGGCTGATGATATGACTGTGTTCAAATGGCACCCATGTGCTAATTCAATATAAAATATGGTGGCATATATATATGGAGAGTATGTGGTGAAGTCGTGAAGCTAAGGTGGGTGGAGTAGGGTGACTCTTGGACCTATAAGTAAAAGGTCCAGTTTATCAGCCAAACCTTACTAAACCAACCTTAAACAATTATCGGACTTCATCAACATTTTCTCAAAAACAGGATGCACAGATACAGAGAGAAACATTTTGGCGTGTTGACTGATTTAAAGTAGGTGTCTACTCATGCTTACTTCCGATCATTTCTCTTAAAAATTTGATTAAAGTGTTTAATTTATTTGCATTTCTATACAATTTAGTGTATTAACTTCATGGTTATATAGATCATTCCTCACTTATTCCAGATTTTCTCTCTCTATTTTGCATTTCAAAACATAACCCCCCCCCAGTGACATTTACAAGTGAGAAGAGCACCAAACAGTAGGCAATCACATCTATACTTACAAGCACTATACTAAAATCATTGCCCTAAAAGCACAAGGATTACATGCATGAATAAATGAATGATCTAATACATGAAAAGATGGCGTAACAGGTAATTCAAGATAACCATGCCATCTTTTGTTGAGCTATGAAACTACATGTAGGTTATATTTGTCAGATTGATGATGTAAGAGGTTGCAGGTAGCAATGTGTCCGAGCAAAATTAAACATTTTGCTTTTTTGATGATATTTTGTTAAAAAACATGATATCAACAACATATGACATCATGGCCAAAATGTCCTAGCTCCATTGGTGTGGTAAAAGTAGGTAGGGCTAATTTGAATGTCTGTTACATAATGAGTTTATTAAAGATATTAAAGGGCAACAAAGAGGTCCTTATGTTCTAAAGGGTTAATAAAAATGGAAGTTCTAAGTCAATAAAAATTATTATTCTATGCGATACGAAATAAGCACACAATAACTTAAAGGAATTGATCATAGGAAATATTAAGTGCAGTTATTTCAAATCACGGGATTACCTCGCCCCTTCTAATATTCTCTACATTAATTAATATAGGCTTCTAATAAAGGCTACATAATATAAGAGGGAGGGGTGACTTACTCCCCATGTTTAAATGAACCAAAAATGTTGTAATGCCTTGTCCAAAAATTTTATAAGAGGTGTATTGATGAATGGTTAATAATTATTTCCACATGAAATAAAAATTGAACCAGTTCTAGACTAAAGATGATATGGTTAGCAAATCATAGCCATGCTTTTCCAATATCTAGGTTTTTATCAAATCAAAGCAATGGATTTATCACACTACCCTACCACGTGACCACGTTTAAAAGGGAAACAGGGTACAGCTTAGTTGCAAATGGAGGACGTGGGTTTAATTCCATATTTCTGAACGTAAAATACATTTTACATATATTTCTAGTGTTCTATCAGACATAGAATTGATTCATCAAGGAGTGTGTAGAATATTGTTGGCAAAAAAACACTATAGGCAAAGATAGATAATAGTGGGCGCAGTGAAGCAAAACCAAATGCAATACACGATACATTTCAGTAAATCTATCAACATACAGGGAGCATGTAAGTGTCCCTTCGAAAATGTTACATTGATATGTAACAAAAAAAACAGTTAACTGTTGTTTAAACTGCGTGTCATCGTGTTATAGGTGGATACGTTTTCTAGTATGTTAGTCAACTGTATTTTTTGTGAATTTGAACAAAACATTTTGAATGGTCGGGTTTTTAGGACGGTAGTGAATTAGATCATTCAAGGGGTTCTATAGAAAGATTCTTCATATGTAGTTCAGGCAATTTTAATTATTCTGAGTAGCAAATAGTCATTAATACTGATAGCGGATAGTCATTTATCATTAACGTGTTGATATTTAATTTCGTTATTTTATTTCAATTTGATACCCTAGTAACACGTATAATCTAGCGTTCTTGTTAATTTAATGACTAAAATGCATACGACATGAAAGCCCGTGTCTAAATCTACAAAATAATGTTTACTTTATTTGGATTAAATAACAATTAATGACACCTCAAAGCATCAACAGGCGGCCTTTTTAGCATTACTTTCACTGTTTGCAACGTAAATGTACATGAGGTCGGGACATAGTATGTCTGTATAATCAGCTTACTTTCTCGCTCCCTGTACTATTGAACAATTTACATTCCTTGTACCCTGTACTGATCAACTTTTGCAGCTGTGTACCGTGTACTATGACATATCAAATATTTTAAAATTTAAAACGATATTATTTACATTATTTCTTCAACTATCATATAACTTGGAACATGGACTTCACTATTGCACCACTGAAGTGTAGCGAATAGCAATATTGACTCACTCCGAGCACCAAACGTATTAACCTTTTGACTAAGCAGTCGATATACTCAAAAGCGACATGTTTGAAAGCCAAAAGATTCGCGCATGCGCGATCGAGGTAGGGTAGTGTGTTTATGATAAAGGGGAAAGAAAAGCAATATTCTAAAAATGACAGGAAACTAAATAAGTAAAAATGTACTCCATGTTAACATTTTTCTTTCAAATGATTTGATATGAGAATACCTTGTACAACATCGAGTACACTTTACATAACATCAAACAAAGAAAGGCGCTTGAGTCCAAGCCTTATATGGTAAGGTGGTATGGTTATATACTTACAATTGATAGTGTGACGGGTTTCGGCTGTGATCTCACAATTACGTCATTTACTTGAGGAACTATGGGTCTGTAAGAGGCGTTTGTGAAGTTGTTCTCATTTTCCCGTTTCTTGGTTGCCGCCTCAACCTGCTTCCGTTGATAATATTGCTTCTTACGCCGCCTTATGGAGAAATAATGTATTTATATTAAAATGAATGACGAATAGATGTTAATGATACATTCTCTTTATGTGGAAATTATATGTAAATTTTTTTTATGTGGAACACCAACATAAAAAAGTCTTTCATATAAAATCCTATTATACATATCTTACAAAAATAAATACTTTTAAATATTTTACAAAAAATAAAAATATTAAATCTAAAGATAACATCATTTTCTATTTGGTGACTCTTCTCCAAAAAATTCTTAAAAACTGGTATGTGGTGACTCACCGAGCGAGAAAGTATGCTAGGACGCAAAGTCCAATAATCACTACTGCCCCCACGATAATTGCACTGATTGTGATCACACGATCTTTTTCGGCGGCCTCCTTCCCTGAAACACAAATAATATATACGTTAAAACAATAAAAATTAATTAAAACTAAATAAAATATATTTTTCTAGTAGTTTAACTTTGAAAGATATTCACATATATTTCATTTCATAATAAAAACATACTCTAATCAAAACAAGCCAAAAAGATCAATTCTAGACCAAGGTTTGGAGAAATGAAATACTTTCCTTAGACAGTCACTCAAGTCATTTGCCACATTGAGTACCTCTCATGATATACATGAGCATGTATTTGTTAATCTTAAGATTGACTGTTCACTTACAAAAATATAATATAAAGACATAGAAAGATGGAGCTTTGAAAGTTGTGTATGGTTAAAAGAATAACAAGGAATTAACATGCAAAATGTCACCACCTGCCATTTGTTAAAAAAGCTGAATATCATGCCAAACACAAACCACAAAACAGTTGGAGACTATGACAATATGTCAACACTTGTGGTGGTGATATAAAAACCTTAATAAATGTTATTGTTGAAAATTGTAAGTTTTACAGAGTCTCAATTTGGCAATCAAATGATTTCTGTACTCTCCGCAGTTAATTCACTACTTTTTATCAATTCATTTATTTGCTGAATGTTTCGTACTTTATAATACAGGTATATGGTGTTAGTTATTTAGAGATTCCTTATATATAATGTTACATCAATTAAGAGTGCACATTTTTGGATTTAGATTTTAGATATCAACAAGTCGGCTACTGAATCCTTTTTAATCTGAAAATGTCTGTAAACACTTAAGGGTTAAGTAATTTTGCAGACATTATAAGGGTTCTCTTATAAGTGTCTGTGATATAGAGCCAAATATTTTCTTTTGATGCAATTTGCTATAAAAGTGCAATCAATCAAGGATTTGTGACGGGAACATCTTAACCGAGAGCCTCACTTATTTGACCAATCACATTTTGGCTCGTATCTTTCAGATTTCGGAATGTTATATAAAAGAGTCTGAGTATAGACTTTAGAAAATATCAAATTCAAAAGTCTGATTTTTACCAATGAATTGAATGTTTGAATATCAGAGATGAATTAATGCAGCAATTGGCGAATCCTCTTTTCTAAGAAATTCCATTCGTCTTAAAAGTGTATAAACGTGTTATTTCTAGACCTAGCATAAATAATGTTAAAGTCATGAAATGTTATTTTCTCCTCTTGAAAAAAATCAATTTACGCTCCTTACAATTTGGACTGTGTTTGTCATGTAATTTCTTGAAAATTTCAGGATGGGTGAGTTTTAAATTCAAAATGGAGTGGAAAAGAGTGGAGTTACTAAGGAAACCAGTGTAAAGGTAAAAAGCTGACACTCGTAATTGTAAGGAAACACTAGGAAATCAGGAAGTAAATTCTTTTAGAAATAAATGATCTGGAAAATTTGAACTTGCATCAGAAGCACCATGACTCTCTATTTACAAGATCTGAACACAGAATTCTATTTCCAAGAAGTAAAGTAGCGACTGATCATTTTAGCACATGATACATCAAACCTAACGATTTTGCCCTCATAGAAAATATTGGTTTTAAGATGCTTTATTCTCGCAAATGGTTCCCTAGAGGTGCAAAAATCATGAAGCAGAAAAATTTATATTTTGATCAAGAAAATAATTCAATTTTAGAACTGAAATAGTATCATGAAATGCTATTAATTCAACATGATCTACGAAATTGTTGAACAAATCGGGGCTCTTCATTTTCAGACATTTTCACAAAAACAAGCCCATGTTTGTTTTTGGAAGACTTGAGATTGATTATACAATGCAATTGCTTGGAAAGCATCAATTTGAAGGGCTACCATTTGAAGTATCCGGATGTTTAAAATATCCGTCTGCTCATGTTCATTTCAACAATTCTCTCTAATATTTGGAAGAAGTGTTTCATTTTATTACATTTCTATACAATTTAGAGTGTTAACTACAATCTTGTTTACTTTATTCCTTGCAGATTCCACTCTGTTCTCCTAAATTTTGAATTTTAAAACATGACCTGTGATTTCCAGATTTATGGATTTCCAGGCCACTGTAAACACTTAAGATTCCAAGTTCAATGTGAATAGCACCTCAATTAACCAAACAATCTAGGATAAAAACCACAAAGGGCATGTTTTAACCTTTAGCGTGCTGCCGGCGGACTCGTCCGCCGAAACTAAAATGTCTCTCACAACTGCCGGCGGACCCGTACGCCCGATTTCAAACTTTTAAAAACTTTACTTTTTCGCGCCATTCGTATTGTCCAATTAGATTGCCCGATTTATTCAGTGCCCAACATGACTTCCTGTTGACCTAGAAATGGCGATATTTCGAAAAATAATTCTCAATTCAACAATTTAAACAGTGTTTTAGTCGTTTTTAGTGAACGAATCGTACAAAATGGTGGACAAATACGATCACAACGAAAATGTGGAGGAAATAGATTACGATTTCGAGCTCTTTAGGCTCTTGGAAGCCGATAACGGTCATCGAAAATAGAAACTAGAATATTTTCTGAATTGAAAAATTGAACATTCGATCGCTGCAAATTCAGATTTGGATTCTGACCAGACGAAGAGGCGGAGCGGCGGATTCCGGAGGAGTATTCATGGTATATTTATGCCCAGTCGTGTTAATGTACGAAAAAATTCATGAGAACATTTTTTTCATGAGCCAGGCCACTGTATCTTCCCTTTGTGAAAATTTTATCCAGATTCATTCAGTAGTTATTGAGATATTAATTATTTAGTCCAGGTGTATCATTTTTTGCACTCTTTGAAAAATAAGCCAGTTGCGTGGGATATATTTGCTGAAATAAGGCAGCATGGTAAAATACAAATGAAAATGAGTGGAATTAGCGAATCCAAAATCCAAAAATCCAAAATGGCCACCTTAAAATTTACCTAGAATGCCAAAGAACTAATCAGATCTAGATTTTCATACTAAGAATCATCCCTGAAAATTTGAAATTGATCTACAAAACGGTTCACCTAAAAACGCATAGACAAGACTTTACGGGCAGGATTTTAAGACGGAAAATCCAAAATGGCTGCCTTGACATTTATCCAGAATGCCAAAAAACTAATCGGATCTAAATTTTCATACTAAGAATCATCCCTGAAAATTTGAAATTGATCTACAAAACGGTTCACCTAAAAACGCGTAGACAAGACTTAACGGGCAGGATTTTAAGACGGAAAATCCAAAATGGCTGCCTTGACATTTATCCAGAATGCCAAAAAACTGATCAGATCTAGATTTTCATACTAAGAATCATCCCTGAAAATTTGAAATTGATCTACCAAATGGTTCACCGGGAAATGCGTAGACAAAACTCTAAAGACAAGATTTTAGGACGGAAAATCCAAAATGGCTGCCTTGACATTTACCCAGAATGCCCAAATACTAATCAGATCTAGATTTTCATACTTAGAATCATCCCTGAAAATTTGAAATTGATCTACAGAACTGTTCACCTGGAAATCCGTAGACAAGACTTTACAGACAATATTTTATGACGGAAAATCCAAAATGGCTGCCTTGACAATTACCCAGAATGCCAAAAAACTAATCAGTTGTACATTTTCATATTAAGGATCATCCCTGAAAATTTGAAATTGATCTACCAAACGGTTCACCTGAAAACGCGTAGACAAGACTTTACAGACAAGATTTTAGGACGGAAAATCCAAAATGGCTGCCCTGACATTTACCCAGAATGCCAAAAAACTAATCAGATCTAGATTTTTATACTAAGAATCATCCCTGAAAATTAAGAATTGATCCACCAAACGGTTCACCTGAAAACACGTAGACAAGACTCCACAGACAAGATTTTAGGACGGAAAAATCCAAAATGGCCGACAATAAAAAAGTGATCATGAGTTTTTGCTGATTTCTTTTTACAAAATTATCACATATAACTACTGTTAACAATAACATAGGCTTTAACAACAAAGTACATCTGAAATTATTTATAAAGCTACTAAATAGTTAGAATATGAAAACTCAAAAACACCATTCAATATGATACAAAGTATTATCGTGCGCTAACTTTTCTTAAGACATTCAAAATGGCTGACATGACTGAGCTAACAGGTCCAAAACCTAATCAGATCTAGAATGAAGTGAGCTGAACAAGATGTTAAAGTTTTAAAAGCAACTGTGAAGCCGTTTTTCTTAAAGTTTGCAGACAAGGATTTTAGCATTTGACTTCAAAATGGCCGACAGGAAGTTGGTATCGAGTTAAATTTTTTTCATCCACATCTGTATGCACTCATAAGTTATCCCTGAAAATTTGAAGGTAATATCTGTAGCGGTTTTGGAGAAAACTCCCGGACGTACGGACGGACAGACGGACGGACAGACGGACGGACGCGCCTAGGCCGACAATATGGCCCCACACTATGTGGTGGGGACATAAAAAATGAGCACTGCTATATCTTAATTCCTAATTCAAAGAGATAACTTCTCTAGAATTGCTGGAATCATAATTTTTAGGAATGTACTTGATAAAACAACAGCCTATGAGTTCAAAATTCCTTCAGGTTCTGAAAAAGTTATATTTAGGCAACAGGTATCTGTCTGTTATGGCAGCAAATATTTTCTTCTTCAAAGCATCTTAATAATCTCCAGTAACTATAACTATTAAATATTGTCTAAGCCTAGTGGTATTTTTCAAATACTTCTAAACATGATCTTCGCCAAAATTATGAAGAAATTGCATTATTAAGAAATGCATATTTACGATTCATTATGAATTATCTTAAATGATAGATAATCAAATTACCCAATGAACCATACATAAATGATGTTAATATCGCATGTAGAACATTCCTTATCTTTGTGTGTTTTTCGATCAGGCCATGATGACATCACAATGTCAAATAATGATGAAATAAGAGCGGAGCAAATTGGTGGTATATTGTAATGTATGGTTAATAATTACGCAGCCCGACTTCATGGCGATTTGTCTTCTAAATTACAAGTAAACCACTCTTGTGATATAACCAACGGATAGGATCCATATTGCAGTAAAAAACAGATTTAACATTGACTATACATACACAACACAAATTCTTTACCATATGATACTGTAATTTTTTCCAGGATTCTAATCTCAAATTTTTAAATATATATCATGAAAGTACTGCGTATAGCTATAAATAAATACAAATATAAGAGAAAGAAATATAACAAATAACTTAAAGAAGTAAGTTCAACAATTTATGATATGTTAATAAATATATAACTTTTAGAAATTGATAACATTTTCAGTAACAAACGTAACTATTTCTTATACAAAGACATACAGTACATCTCAAAATTAACCATACCTATTTCTAGTCTAAGAGAACAGGTTATTTTTGATATGTACTGTATGTACTCTACATACAGTCCAACTCAAAATTAACAATCAAGTTATTTTTTAAACAAAGTTTTTCAACTACAGTGTAATTCAAAAAGAACATTATCAAGGAGGGTACAGATCAAGTTAAATTTGGCATGTTCTGTATGTCCTAACAATTACAGTACAATCCATAGTAAACCAAAGTATGGTTATATAACCAAATATCAGGTCAATATGGATGTGTATTGTATAAACTCATCTATATACCAGAGATCTATGGGTTCACCCAGCGTCTAAAGGAGACAACGTGGCTAGGAAGCAAGCAAAAAGCGGGTAAAGTCAGGCACATATATTATAACACAGTTTAATCCAGGTCACAAAAAAGTTCATCAATACTCATAAAATAGTAATAAAAATTAATTTCATAAGATCTAAGCAATTTGAGATTTAATACTCATCAGAATTCAGAATCGATTGACTGCCAGAAATGTGATCTACTGGATTTAACTGTATTAAATATTTAATACACATCGGGACAATATGCAATAAAACCTATAATATTGAACAAAGAATGGAATACATGAGCTACTATTGTACATAACCATGTACATTTACAGGTACAGTACATAGTACTATATCATATACATTACATGCATTCGATATGTTAGTCTTCCCATAGAGTAGAAACCAAATTATATCATTTTTGAATTAAAATTGAATTGAAATAAAATTGAATCTCTTTCAAACAAGGTCATAATAAAACATTTCAATATTAAACCAGAAAAACCTCCAATGTTATATTTGAGGTTATATTTTTCTGTTATGAGTTTAAACTCAAGATATCTTTCTGATTTTGGTTAGCTCAAGATTTCAGAAGATTCCTAATACTAAAGTACCACATGAAAAACATTGAGTACACATGATTGTAAGAGAACATTGAGTCTAAAACAGTGAGTACATGCACATGAGACCCATAAATAACCTTAAAAGACCATTTTGTCAGAGAGATATGTTATATTTTCATATAGTCCACCATCCCAGATTAAAAAATAGATTCCATACTGACCCTTTATAGAAATGAAACAACAAAGAAATCGTGAAATGTGAAAATTCTTCAAAATGTTAATTTTTGAAAAATGTGAAAATGAAATTCTTAATATGAAAATATTGACAACTAGATTTCATATAAAGGATGTCTTATATGTGTATAATACAATGAAATATTAGGAAGCTACGAAGCAGTTATAGCATCATTAATTACACAACTCTGGGACAAGAATCATTAACAGGAAACATTTACAATAACTTCTACTGGTTTCTATGACTACATATCTCATTAATGAAAGCATGTCAAATCTATGGTTCATAAAAAATGAGTAAATTAAAAGACACTTTAAATTGAAATTACTCGTCCATGCATTTCACTGTACATTCTCATGCAGGTTACAAATGCAACCAACAACTGCTCAAAAGGGGAACAGATTGACATCGTTGTGAGACGTTAAAATTGTGAGATGACATGCCTATATTGTACAGATACATACTCTTCACTTCTTGCATGTAGACGAACGGATCTTGGTATTCACATCTCTTTCCTGTATACTCCTGTGGACACCTGAGGGTTAACGCAGAATGTAAAGGGTTAAACAGGCACTCAAAGGCAAATAAGGGAATAGGGTCTATAAACCCAGGATACAAAGGGTTAAACATAGGGTCAAGAGCACACAGGTCTTAACCCAGAAATCAAAGGGTTTAACACAACAGAGTGGGGACATGAGGGTGGTCATTTGCATCTTGTGTAATATATTTTTCAGGCTACCTGCTCCTTGTAAGTATGGCTTAAAGATCAAGCAAGCTTAATATTTTAAGCAAGCTTTTACTGCTGTATAATCAACCTGACAGGTATAAGCATACAATATACTGCAGATTGGCCAATAGAGGGCGCTGAAAGCAGTGACATGAATTTGTAGTGTACACATAGCTATAGAGGCGCCAAATGTAGCTATAGTCCACATGTGCACATTTTGAAAAAATAATTTTCAAAATGTTCGCTACATACTGGTAACTCTTGCGTGAGCTACACAGAGAATGTGATTGGCTAGAGAGGTGTCATATCCTAACTATCGCAGAGCACCAAGTGGCAACATAGGGAACTAAAAGAAACAACACATTGGCTGAAAAATCAAAGAAGAAAACAAAATGAGGAGAAAAATATGGCGAGTCAATCTGAGCTCGAAAACAGTTGATAAACACCAACTCTTGAACTCATTCATATTTTCAGAAATAAATCGCCACATTTTCCATGTTTATTTTGTTTTTTCTCTGACATGACAAAACACACTTCATATGACCTTAAAGCATTTCGGCATTTCTCAAAATTTTCTCCAACATATTACATGGATAACTACAGAAACTATGCTATTAAGATTTTTCTATGTCAAAAAATATGTTGATTCACATTCTAGGCATCTTTTTTTTGAAATATCCAACCGTAATATTTGTGAGAGAAAATTCTGTAGTACACATCTCTATATTGTGAAATTTATGTAGTGCACGTTGCATATAAAAGATAAAGTTCAACGAATTTAACAATTGATTAAAACTTAAGAAAATACAATTATTTATAGGAAATGGATCTAAGACAAATAAGCATCAAAATATTTAAAAGATAAGATTCAACAATAAGTCTTAAGCTTAGTGAATTTAAAATGTGAAAGATTAAAAAAAAATTACAATTTAATCCTGCTAATTCATGCTCCATACATATCATTGTTCTCTACAGCATCACAAAACGTCAACAAAACAAAATTCAAGAATAGAGCAAAAAATGAAAAATCTTAATTTCAATACTGTCAATTTCAAAAAGCATTTGTTAAAAGGCTTTAAGTTGCATTCAAGAGTTAGTAAAACTACTTTTAACAAACAATCTCCAGTATGTATTCTCCCAACCTTGCAATTTTCCAAGCGTATATGTTAACATGAAATAATGTACATCATGATGATAAAGTATTAGATCAAAATTGATATGTTTGAGACAATAAATGTAATATTATCATTGACAATAGATGAAATATTATCATTGGCAACAAATGGAATATTATCATTGAAACCCAAGATAAAGAAAGACATCCACAATAAAACACGATACAAAGAAACATTAACCCTTTTGCACTGAAAATAATATACTCCATTGTCTTCTATGTGTCATCGAATCATTTTAATTTTTAATTTCACAAGTTTTGAGAAGGATTCCAAACATGACCTGCGAATCCCTAAAATCCATGACACTATGACATGCAAAAAACAGAAAAAATTCTCAAAGAAGAAAGTCAAAATAATCTTTAACTTTCGAAAAAATAAAAAAAGTTGAAAACAGAAAATAATACAAAAAAGAATGTTTGAATAAAATATTGATAGAATGCATTGGTACATATAAACAAATATATTAAATAGATAAAAAGTATATTTAACAGAAAGTTTATTAATTAACATACAATTGAAGACAAAAATTATAAATCGAAGATAAAGTATAAGTCACATCCGATTTTGAAAATAAAGTCTACAGTTTGAAAATGACCATGCAATGTGCACTACGTGACTGTATTATGTAGAAATGTATAGAGGGCGCCAGTCGAGGGACGTCATGCCTCATGCTTTAAGATCATTGGTTAATTGAGTGACAAACGAGGCACACTTTTCTACCAGTACCAAATCCTCACAATGGTCAAGCTTTTTCAGTCACATCGAAGGGAGTCACTTTTTATGAGTGACGTTCCATGAGATGTTAATAATTTGGGAAAACAGAAATGAATTTCCCATGAGAAAATAATAAGTTTTGACCAATGTGGGGCTTTGTTGGTGAGGGGGTAAGGCACGCATGACAAACTCTATACCTGGCGGCATAATAGGCCCAATGGATGGGATTGGAGGTGAAAACACATCGCACCGCTTTCCTGTATAATTGAGCGGACACCTGAAAGAAAATGGCCGCCATATTCGACGGAACATTCAAACTAAATACCATGCTAAAACTGGGTCTATAGACTAATTGATAGAATGACAGACAAACATTCATGAACATTAGAAATGGCTAAATATTAAATATAGCAATTCTAACAAATAAACTCATCAAAAATACAGGGAAGTATGTTTGATGGGTTTTGTATCTGAATGCAGGATGCATTGCATACTCAGGTTTAGATTAGTGCTACAACATTGGTGATGACAGAAAACAAATACGAAAAGTAATCATACCTCCCCCTGCCCCCCCCCCCTCCCCCCGCAAACATATTTCATGAACAATGAGATGAATTGTTTCCAGAGAGATTACATTTTTTCAGAAACTATATTATACTTATAACTTTCTGAAAAATTGCTTTTCTAATATAACATAATTATTAACTTCTCTCAAACCATCTTAATTTAGAAGTCTATTTAAAAGTCTTTAAAAAATCATTTAGGACTTTCAACACTATAGAATAATACAACAAGATATGGCCAAAATAGCATTGACTCGTTAGATATGATATTACTTCAAAATCCGAGCACATACAAACTCTATAGACAATTCCATTATTAAGTTACATATTTTAGTATTCATTAATAATGTCACTTTTAATCTTTCAATTAGTAAATTAAATATCGAAGCTAAAGAAAGCTGATGCAACTGATGAAATTACCAAAAATTCTATAATGTTTCAAAGGTATTATTTTTTGACCCATTATGACTGGTATTCTTATCCAATGATATAAACCATATACTCACATGCAAAATTCTCTTTTAAGTTTAGGCAGGTATCCGCATGTTCCATTATTAAGACAGTAATTTCGCATTTCTCCTTCGCATTCCTCATAATGTCGCGAGGATGTAGTCGGTGAGACAGTTGCGGCTGGAACATAGAGAAGAATATAAAATCCACATCCAACAATATTTCCCATTTTATCGTTTGTTTGTCGTGACTATGTTTCGACATGGGTGATTGGAATACCCTTGCAGAAAACCGTTTGTCCATGGTCTGATTTCTAAAAGTTCTACAAAAATAAGCTCTTCCTATAAATAAGCTTTTAAGGATAAGCCCTGCTATACCATAAGCTTTTAAGTCTAAGCTACAAGAAAATAAATTTTAAAATGAGATTTCTATTTTTATAAGTTTTATGTCAATTAGAAGAAATTAAAGAGGCAGTGTCTCATAAGAACACAATAGTTTACTGGATGGTCAGAAATTTCAAAAGAAATTTAAAAACTCGCTTTGAATCTGATTGGCTGTCCTGGTTCCAGACCAACAATCTTAATAGTATTATTGATTGTATAATTAATGAAACAATAAAAGCGTACTGAAATTATTCATACAATATAGATACAATTTTTTTCTTATACTAAGTATCATTCTGTGAGTACGCTTTAGCATCGGGTAGCACCTCAGACTACAGACCGTCAGATCGTGGGTCCAGATCCTGGCGGTGACGTTAGTTATTGATTTTTTCATTTATGTTTCCTATATTTTTGAACCACAACACATTTGATTTATATCTTTCAAGGGTTTTAAAAAATTGATAAAACGATTGTTTGTTGTTCGAGACTAATTATGTTCAACTCGGACACTTGGTTTTCTCAATATATCGGCAATACTGTGCCCATAATTTGGTTTCAAGATATATCTTAGGTATGTATGATATTATATAAGTAATAATTATAGTGGGGCATCACTGATTGTCTAGGGGTGAAACCTAGGAGACATTGCCTCTTTAATCTATAAAAGAGATTTCTATAAGATGATATAAATAATTTTTTAAGATTTTGCTTTTGAGCCCATAACCATTGTGAAGCTATTACTTGAAGGGGTGATAAGCAAGCAAATGTCTTGTTCAGTGAATATCAGAAAATATAACATTAAGAAAAATATGATTTTAAAAAGAATATCAAGATGGTGAACATTAAATATTAAATTAATATGTTAAAATAATGAAAATAGTACATGAAATAAGAATCACTATGTACATTTATAAATATGATTAATGATTATAAAGTATTAGACAGCATTATCAAGAAGATTCAAAAAATGAAACTGAGCAAAAGTATCAGTGTTTTCTCGTCATAAAAAGAGCGAAATGAAAATGAATTTAAAACAGGCAAACGTTCTATCTACGAAACAACAGAGATACAACGCAACAATGGCCTATGCTCTGCATCCATTTTCTCTCTCAGAATTCTGTATGCTCCAGATAACGGGCATGAGACTATCCCATGATCCTCAGTCTAAAAGCTTTGCCGTGACGTGAAAAGGAAATCAACAGGTGACATAAGCAATATTAAGTGAAAGTTGACGATTTCAATTCACACAAGATTTAGCTAACTATTCTAACTAGTACAGAGAAAGCAACAAGAAAAATCGGAAGGTGTTCAGCGTCTGCCATATTTGGAACACAGTCTTACCAGTTGTGAGTTTTCCTGAGTTCCAAGGTTCTGTATACAAAGAGAATAAGAAACAACATTGACTTGGTGAATAAACTAATATTGAGAAACATTTATACATTTCTGGGTATGCCCATAGTCAAATGTCAATTGTCAAATGTCAATTGTCAAATATCAGTCAGTTCCTGCTAGTTCACACCATGTATCACCAGAATACAAATGAAATATAAAACTTTTGCACGCCCAATTGCATATGTTGACTCCTGTTAAATGACTTATTTTTTACTTACTTTTATGTTACAAAGCATGATCTTTTGACATGACATTTTACACAGATAATTTCCTCAAAACATTCTAAATTACATGTAGTAAAGGAAAGAATGCCCCCTCCCTTATGTCACTCTTACAAACATTTTCCATGTTTGTATTTGATATCGTTTGCAGGGGTTTGCTTTTACTGCTGCCCTTATATCCAATCTGATTTATTTTATGGAAAAAAATTCAATACCCTTAGCGTACAAATAATAATTCAAAGATTGGAGTTCTATTTAACAGAGAGATCATACTTTTAGGAGATTAGAATTAGCAAACTGATTCGGAATTTGGTATACTACTATATTTCACCAAATTAAAAAATGTTCTTGATGTTTGTTTGGCATATAACAAGGCACAGGCAACCCATTTCCCATCACCATAAAATACACCAGAACATAGCAACGTAAAAATAAAACTTAAGGTGTATAGTGATAAACAGGTTGTGCCTCAAAATAAAAGCATCAAATTGCAAAATATTCTCTTTATAATACCATAACATACACATACTAATTACTCCAAGGAATAACCAAACCACTCTGAACTATTCTTCAATCCATTCTTAAAACTTCCTGAGATATACATCAAAATCTGAAAACACCTCAGTGAAACAATCCCAGCTGAAATTGAAATATAAATCCTTTGCCGATTAAGTGCATGAATAAGGCCTATCATTTATCTGTAATTTATCGCTCATTATATTCCCATTCAAAAAGAATGAATGGGTATTAAAATGCAGGTAATGTACGCAATTACTCATGAGTGTACATCCCCTGTCTATACCACAATTTCCCCAGGTTAGCAATTTTATAATAAATCATAAACCAGAGTAAAAAGATATGGGAGGTGATAGAAGGTGGGTGGGAGGATTAAGGGGCCATGTTTTCAGATTGCATAGATTCCTGACAAAGTGTGATGTAACGACTAACAAGGGACGGAGGTAATTATTATAACAAAGTACTTAGGAGCCCTGGAAACTAGACACAATGGTTAAACCCAGTACTGATATATCCGTCTGCTTGTGTGTATTTCTCATCATTTCTCTCTAAAATTTGAATAAAGTCTCTGTTTTTCTTACATTTTTAAATAAAATAGAATATGCACTGAATGCCAACATACTTTATTCTCAATTTATTTTTTCACTTTCTACTCTAATTGGCATTTGAAAATGCTACTTCTATGTCACGTTATATCCCGGATGACATAGTAAGCCCTTAGCTTTGGAAAATCCATCTTCCTAACTTATTATTCCGTTTAATTGGATGCCTTGTAAGATAGAAGCACATTTTTCTGGCGATTACATGCCTGATAAATTCATTGATCCCAACCCATAGAAAAAGATTCATTTCTAATTTTTGAGAGATGTGGCGTTTAACATAAATGTCGCTCATCATAAAATATGAGTATATGTCGCAATAGAGTCACAGTATAGTCCCTATATTGTTACCATATAGTCACAATAGTCGTATAGCTGACTAAAATTTAACAAAAGCAGGAATATTGAACCCCCATCGGAATGAAAACATGATATATATGCAACCCGGATACACTGATCTTTGCCTATAAAAAATGCACCCCAATTGCACCCGTCTGCACCAAATTTAATAATTGGTGCGATGTAAAACATTCAATAGCTCTATGTAGTATTGGGACATGGGATGATGCTCCAGAGGGAGATCAGTGATACGTATTAATCACATTTGCGACATGGTTAGTCACAGAAACCCTGGGGTAGGATGATCTACCATCGATGACGGAATACAAATGTTTCAACGGATCAATTCTATTTAAAATCCAGAGATAACTAATATCGAGACATTTCAAAAACACAGGCTGAATACAGATTCGGAAACCAGGATCTTTAAATTCACGTTAACTCACAGTCACAATGAATAACACAGAGTTGTTCAAGAGGCTTCATTTTTACTGTAATAATTTCTTACACTTTGAAAATTATACCCGTGATCTCTTCGTGTAAAGTGGTTACATTTGTTGAGAATATCAATCAACTAGCTTAGTAATTCATAAAAATATGAATTAAGATGTTTGAGAATCGAGATATTTTTCATATTTTTTAGATCAGATAACAAAAGTTATACTTACTGGTAGGGGCTTTTGTAGCGGTTCCTGGTTTCGGAGTCACTGAAAAACAAAATAAATAATATTACCTAATTTATAACAATATGTCATACACTTGTCATAATGAAATTCTCCTCTTGAGAATTGAGTTAATCCAATTAGTAAGTTGCCATTCTGGCCGTTGACGTTATAAGTCCCAGGGAAGTAATTTTCAGCTAAGTAATATATGTAATAAGTTCAACTGCAATTTTCTGTGATATCAGAATGATGTAATCAGAATTGCTTGCAGTTCCACGCAATTTAGCACATTTTCTCCATATTTCTCTATTTCACTTTTTATTGATTTCATATATTATTTGGCATTTAAAAATACAACCACCATGCGATTTTCATTCCGTTTGTCTTACCCTTCGCCATATTAACCATGTGTTCAATCTCCCTTGTAGCTTATCTGGCCAAGATATAGGATTGTCTATATTTGTCTATACTTGTCTTTTATTCGCAGTGGGAAAAACTCGCAATTAATCTTGTAAACCGGAACAGATCTTATGCCGATTCACATAGATGTGATCGTTGGTATGTTAACAATGTACAATCCCAGTTTAGTTTTGCTTTCTGTCTGTTGCCACACTGCTGTGTGAAAATTGATATGAAGACTTGCAAATGCAAAAGCGAATACTATTCACAACTGTTCTTGATTTTCTCAGTTTATTTTATTGTTTTAAACATCCCCTGTGCATATGTTGGAACTTCTCTTGGGAATTTTAGGCCATGTGGTTTTATAATAATAATGTTCCGCTTTTTGATTGTTTTGATTGGTTGGTATTTTTGTCTGCTGTCAATGACAATCTGATTCACATCCGTTACTTGCTATATATGGGCATTCAGGCCTTATATAGGAGATGGGATAATAATCTATCTTTCCTGTTCTATAACATTTGACCTTTCTGTTCTTAAAATAAATATTTTTTTAAGAATTCACTTTCACTTTTTAAGAAAAAATCATGGAACAGGTGTCAAAAATACTTTGAATTGTCTTATAAAAAACTAGAAACTCTTAGAGCACTTCAAGGTCTTGGTTGGAATTTAATATCATAGAAAATTATTGCACAATTTTTCAAGATTTCCAAGATCCAAAAGGAGGTGATGATTATGTCTTACGTCAAGCAATTAAGAAGCGGAAGTGACCCCTTGCACGCTGATAAATCATCAGCTCTTGACTTATTAAATGTTTACGATAAACAGAAGTGTGACTTGAAAAAACACAGTTAAATGCCACAAATACTATTACAAGACCTGTAGATAAATTTCCATCTGTTTAGCTTATTTCTTGACATTTCTCTCTATGGAATATAGATTATAAAAGTATTATTCTACTTAGTTAATTCCATTCTTTTGACTTAGCTATTATTTAATAGCTTTAATACAGAAATGTTAGGATTTCTAGTTCCGAAGGAAATATCTTCAGGGGTAAGAATGCCATTAAACATAAGGTCATAACACACAAGAAATACTTTCAAAATTATAAAATAGGACTACGTGTCATCATAACTTATCACAAATTCTCTCTTAAATTTGAATGAACTACCTATTTATCTGGCATTTCTACACAATTTAAAGTATAAACTATGTACCTGTGTAATTTATTCTTTGCAAACTCCATCCTTTTCCACTGTATTTTACATTTTTAAACATGACCGTCTTGGGAATTTATTTCTGGGTGGCTTAACAAAAGGCTCTCTGGTGGCCTATTAGAGAACTCAGTAGATTCCCATGTACGGGTACAGTTCATCCTTTTAATAAGGAACTTAAATCATTAATAAATGTCAAAAGGAATGTGTCATAAATATACCAGTAAATAAACACGGAAGTCTACCTTCTAAAGAAGATGTTTCGAATTACTGTCCTCACAGATATGGAGTTCAATGATCTCACCCTTGAAGCAACTGTGGCTTGCACCCAGCTGAAGATTTGTTATTCACCTTGCACCAAGTTGAAAAAACTAATTTGCACCCAGTTGATGATGACAAAAGATTTGTAAAAAAAATTATAGGTCATTTCTCGGTGAAAATAAGGTAGAAAGCAATTTTTGTACCGAGATGAGAAAATATTGTGGAAATGCATTGACTCATTTGTAACAGATATCAAAATGACATAAATGAAAGTGGGAAAATGCACCTACTTTATGATAATTATTAATTCATCTTCCTCATACAAAAGCATGAGTCAATTTTGCCAACATCTTATAAGATCAAATGAGAAACAGGATTAAAGTATATTCAATTCTTCAGTACCTGTATAATTCTAATTTCCTAAAAATCTGGATGCAAGGTCTATAATTTTTGTCATACACGCATGTCTCGATCAAAAATTTTATTTTTATTTTATTTTTATTCATATTTAGAAGGAAGTTCCTTCTGCAGGTGGTTATTCGAAAGATAAATCAAATTCATTGTCTAATGATGCATACAAATATGTTAAAACAAGTACCCAATGTGTTAAAACAAGTACCTAAATATGTTAAAACAAATACCTTATGTGTTCAAATAAGTACCAAAAGAGGAAAGACCACTTAACCATAAATAAACTACTGGTAGAAAAAGAAACATTTAAAAGTAAATTTGATCATTTATTAAAGCAAACTCCAAAATATCAGACAGGAATTTAACTTATAGGAGACAAAGTCCGTGTCTCCCATACCTATACCAATCAGGAAATTCTGTATAACATTTCTACAATATTTGAGATTCAATAATTGATACGAAAACTCTTAAAAATGTCAAAGTTATCATGTCTTTTAAAACGCAAGATGTAAACTACCAAATATTCCCATATATATTCATTCTGATTTATAAGAGCCATCTTATCCGACAAAAGGAAACAGATAATATGGTTAACTGCGATGATATGAATTCTGCTATGTGGGGAATCCATTCTGTTTAAATTTGAAGTTTCCATCAAAGTTTAGATGTCAGTGCTTTAGTCCAGTAAGCTACAAAGTGTTTGCTGACAGTTAACCATCAATATAGAGGGCACCACTTTATTGGCAATCAACACTGGATAAAATCCTGGTAACAAAATGAAATCTAATATAGACATCAAAGATTAAACAAGGCATTAACATGGAAAATATCACCAACTGCCATTTGTTACAAATGCCAAAGACCAAACTTCACACATCAACCAGTGAACACCATCAACAAAAAGATGGAGTTTAAAACAATATGTCACCACCTCTACCGTCAGCGGTAAAATGTAAATGAAGTACATTTAATTGTATTATAAATACATGTACCAGGTATATGATGCTTGTACCATGGGAAGTTTTTTCATAAAATTTTTCAATTGTTTCAATTTTCTCATAAAATGGGATTATTAAGTGGGAGTATGTGTAAATGAAAATGTTAACAATTTTGAGGTTTAAGTTAATTTTAGTAAAAATAATTATATACCAAATGTGGGTGATCCAAATTTATCCTATATTTCTCAACATTAGTCACAAACCCAAAGAGTTCAATTTAATAATAGTATAGCAATTTAAAACCTTTATTTGATTCTTGTTTTGAAGTAACAGAGTGCAACTTTACATTTTTTATAATGTTTACCAAGGAAATATCAGCAAACATTTCCTCTTTATGTGTGCAATCTGCGATAAGATCTCTTTGATGTAGATTTGATACTTTCCCACCCATATACCCTGGGAGTTTGTCATCAATTGATACAATATGCGTGAACCGAAATCATCTCAAAATACATTTGTTACCCACGATGCACTTGTTGACGAGTCTATAAATATGAATAGATATGTTATTTGTGGAAAACCACAACTAAAAATAAGTGTGACTCTACAACACACAAACAACAAAACAAGGCCGATTTGTCGAATTGTGTTTAATTTGAGATGACATGTTGAAAAGTAGGGATTAACTCTGGGTCTATAATTAATAAGCTGAAATTGTGGTGAGAAATAGTCTAAAAAAATATTATTTTGGGGTAAGCCCTAAGGGGTAGTCCGTGGTGGCCTGTGGTTAGATTTTTGGAATGTGTATGGGATTCTATAAAAACAAGGTGGTCGCATTTGTTTTTATAAAATATTTTGGATTTCTAAAAAAATGGATACTTCAAGTTGTTTGTATAGAATAAAGTCAATTAAGGAGAAATAAGAGACTTCTTTAGATTTGATTTGATTTGATTTGATAGCTTCTTTTCTCCAATTTCTCCAAGTTAAATAGGTTTATGTTTTAAAATGCAAAGGAGCTGAATAAAGTACATAAACACATCTTTGACACTATACAAAAATACTTAAAACCAAGTGACCACTGGTTAAATGGAGGCTTACCCATAATTTCTGCTGATTGAGTGAACTGGCCAAGGACATTGGTTGCCGTGCACCCGTAGTCTCCAGCATCACTCTCCTTTGCCTTCCTGATACGAAGCCTAGATCCCTTCCTGGAAAACGGTAAAACAAACATTTCAATCATATTTTGAAGATTGTTGTCTACAAGTGGTTTCCTAGGTGATTGAGGTTAGGTGAAGACCACATTAAACCATGGGGTTCAAAATGGGAAGAGAAACAAAAATATGGGAGGTAGCATGCAATGTTTTTTATTTCTTGAGACAATGACATGGCCTTACAAAATTTTTGTCTTAGAATGGTTCCAAACATGTTTATTTTCCCTATAGTAAAAACAATGAAAAAAAGTTATTAATAAAAGAGTTGGTTGATTTGAATTGAGCTGATTTTTCTGAACATGGAGCTAAATAATGTTATAAAAAATTAACTGGACATCTCAGAAAAAGAACGATAACCATGGAGTAAACTGAGATGATGACCAATCAGATGATTCAATTATGCCAAGGACCAAACTAATAACTCCTAATAACCAGCGATGATAATAAAGCATAAATTACACCAACTCAAAATGGCCGTTTGCTCATGCCTATTTAACTCATTTCCCTCTAAAATTTGAATGAGGTGTTCGATTTTCTGGAATTTCTATACAATTTAGAGTATTGGTTACATGCCTGTACATTTTATTCCCTGCTAATTTCACTCTTTTTCACTCTATTTTGCATCTTAAGACATGACCATAATACGTTTTTTTGTTTGTTGAATACTAACAATGAATTAATAAGACTGGCCAACATCTAAGCACACAAGAGGAAATTAACATTGAGAATCCCATGAAAAAGCACAATGTGGTCTTGCCTTGAAACGCATAAAAAGAGTGAAATGAGAGGAATTTGTGAGAAAAAGAATTAGCAAGAAGAAGTCAACACTTTGGAATATACAAAAATGCCAAAAAATCAGTTACTTTATTCAAATTATAGAGAGAATACAGTGAAACAAACAAGACCAGACGGACATTTTGCATAAGATATTCTAATGTAAATACCATTAATTAAATAAAAGAACAATTAGGACGGAAGATCATCTTCCCATCTTTTGTGGTTGGTGTTTTATGTTTAATTACATCTTCACGATTCATTTCTAAGATCATAAAAGTTGTGACGTCTTTTCTAGTTTAGCTATTTTGGCACAATTTCTTTCTTCGAGGGCCTTTCCAATCATCCAACTCCTTAATATTCATATAACAATCATATAATAAATTAATATTTATATTACACAAAAGGGGGTCATAAATCAATGTACATTTACTATACGTCGTTTGCTATCAGATGCTAATGAAAAATACTACAGAAAAATTCTCAAATGAAATGAAACCATTGGAATGAGAGAGTGTCGTGAATGCTAATTTTGTTTTTCTTTCTCCCATCGGGCAAGTCTATACGGCAGAGCAATGCTGGATGGCTGTCATATTTTTTAATGAAAAATACAAGTGAATGGATAAAGTAAGGAATGAAGTAGAGAAGCACGATGTAACATTCTAAATTATTTAGAATTATACCAAAAATCTGTCAGTTTAAAATTTAAGAGAAAGCGGGCAAAAGAAGCACTGCAAGAATCTCATATAAGCTAAGGAAATAGCGATCATCTATTCTTTGTCAGAATCTAAGAACTATTTTGACTTTTCTTGCATACATTTTCTACAAAGGAATTATGTACGAAAAGTGACAAAAAATAAGCACAATTTGGAACGGTACTTTTACAATACATGTATTAATGTATTTTGCTATCATTTCCAGGAATGACGTCTGATTTACATTACTGAAAAATGAAGGTTGATGAATAAAATACTATGCTACTAAGCATCCAGAAATAGTCCCATTATCACAGAAGGAGAAGCCAACGATATAATAAATGCTTGATACTGTAGTATGTACCATATACTTTTTATGTAATAAAATTTGCTTCAGGTATCAAAAGATATCGTAGCTCAATAAATCCAGTTTTGATTACCTTTGATTGGAGCTAATTAGAAAGTGACAGATTAGGGTCCAGAGGATTAGTTTTAATGAATAGCTGTTCTTTGCTAATTTATAGCCTCTCTTTCAATATTATAGCTTCTTTCTGGTTATTTCATGTTATTTATTGTTTTTGACTCTCTGATTTTACGGATCAACATTCACATTATTATGTTGAAATAAATATGGTACATTTTTGGAATTTCATAAAATGTATGAACAAATGTTTCTTCACAAAAAATGTTGTTAAAATCTGAAAGAAAAAACTGGAAATTTTTGATCACAAGTGAAACCAAAAATATTCAGCAAGTCATCTGAATTCACAGATATATAAAATATGAAAATCCAGAGAATATTAGAGATAATGAAGATATGAAAATATATAGTCAAATGTACCTAAAAAGATGACAAAAGAACCTAATATTCTACTTATAGCTTTCAAATAGTACCCTGGGTAACTGAAATAGTACCCCTGGGTAACTGGAATAGTACCCTTGGGTTCCTCTATTAGCTACAAAAGCCTACAATTGGCACTAATCATAATCCATTTTGAACAAAGGTCTCATGTTTATGTGTAATATTCTCTCAGAATGATAACAAGCTATCACAGAAAATCATAGTCTTATATAAGAGTCACCGTGGAAACAGAAAAAAGCGAGGAATAGACTGAAATATTAGTCCTGATTCGCAGGTATTTAGTATGAAAGAAAATTTGTTAAAATTTAAGAGAAATTACCAAAGAACAGAGAAAAATTGAACAGGATTCTCAGAATCCAGACTTTTACAATAAATGTCAGTTTTGATCCTCTAAAAGATTACAATTTTGTAAGATTATTCAAATATTTATATTCTGTGCATTAAGAGTTAGTAAATTGTTCATCTGAGGACTATAAAACAACAAGATATAAATAACAATGAGATTGTGCCACAGTTATTTTCTCATATATCTTATTCAATAATAAAAAAAACATGAAGATAATTTGAACTTATTTCTATGAAATCATCTCAAGGTACAATCATCAAAAATATAAAAATATAAAAACAACATCTTACATGTTGTCGAGTTATATCAAAAGTACATATACATTTATAGTATTTATCATTTCGTAAGGTTAGAAAGAGATAACAAAATATTCATTGATAATGGCTTTTAGAACTGATTTCCACAGGGATTACTTATATTCACCCTAAAATATCATGGTAAACACATTTTAAAATGAGAAATTATGTCATATAAAGTGCAATAAGCAAGGAAAAAATAAACTTATCGTTGATGTTTTATAATATAGAAATGCAATTTAACAGACATTTATTCATTTAAGGAAATGAACAACAAAAAGCATGAGCTGATGTCCATTTTTATAAAGGAACACGGGTGACCCAAGAGATTCCCCACGAATTATAGATCAAACATTATTTGCCCATTTATGGTACCCGATGAGAATTCAAGTTTTATCAATTTACATGCAAAATCTACTGTATGGACTATCAAATCATATATTATCTGTATCATTTATAATTTAATGTTAAACTCAAAATTCATATTTTTAGATGTAAATTAAAATGACAGACAATTATCAATTAATAATTTCAAATCAAACAATCAATCATTCAATTAATCAATCAACTTACTTGTTTGTTTTGATGGACACTCCTTTCTTTTTCTTGATAGTAACGCCATCTTTAGTCCAGATTACTGTAGGGGGAGGGTTTCCTCTTATCTTGCACTTTAATTGTAAACGCTTACCAGCTTCAAATGTTGCCGGTTTAAGTTGCGTCACTTTTGGCGGGCTGGCTGTAAAATACAAACATTTTCCATGAGAGACTCCCTGATCAGCGTAAATATATGAAATACATCCTAATATGGCAATCAATGCTAAAAGCCTCCAGGTCCTTGAGCCGATATCAAGCATTTTACAAAATAATGGTCGTTACATCAGAATTTGTAGTTTGCATGCAGCGAACACATTCCCTGGTCTCAGAACATCTAATTTACTTGATAACAAGCCAAATTGACTTCACAAAGCTTTGGGTGTTAATTAGGTCACATTTATATCATAAAATCTTGACACGTAAAAAATCAAACAAGGGTCCAACCTTATTAAAACAATACCTTGGGTTGTTTTGTAATCTCAAAGATATTTTCTTTGACGATCAATCATTTATAATGATCTGTAGATAATTTTACCGAGACACAATGCCCCTGCCATCTTGTGATTGGTTAATGTAGTGTTATAATAGTGTGATGTATACATTTGGGGTGAGTCATGATTTCTGCGAGTTAAGTCATGATTTGGATACAAATTAACATGGGGTTATTCATGATTTTACTTCAACCAATATATTTCACTGTATGGTATGTTACAGATTAATCAAAATTGAAAGCCAATACCCAACAATCAACCAAAATCAAGATTTTAAACATATAATTGTATTAATAAATATCTTCTACAAAACCGTGAACTTGCGCGTGGCGTTCAATAAGTTCAGCGACCAGATAAGAAGTCAATATTTTATGAGAAAACACACCTCAAGTCTGTTATAAGAGTTCAATATATTTGAATGTGTTAAATCACTTATCTAATATGCATTTACGTTTATTAACCAGCAGAAAATCTCAAAATAGACATTTAATAGAATATCCCATAATTATGATAACTTCTGTTTTAACATTGATTTCTTACTTGAATCATTAGGACCTAAAGTTATCGTATTTTAATCTGAAGTTCATATTTATTGATCTTTTTTCTTTAGAATAGATCATCTTATACTTTACCTCATTTGCCATAGTTTTAAAAATATATCCAATGTTATCACATACCGATCTTAATGTTATCATATTTCGATTTATTATCATATTTTGATCGAAAGTTATCATATTTTTTGATCTATTATTATAATTATAGTTTGATCTACTATTTTTAAGTTATCATATATTCATCTAATGTTATCATATTCTAATCCTTAGTTATCATATTCTAATCTATCATTTTATCATATAAACAACATACCTCCTATCACCCAGTAAATTTCTTTCTTGGGATCACCTGACATTTTCTCAAAGCTTCTGTTTTTCGCGGAATGTTAATTCTATTGTTGATATAACATAACACTTTGAAAAAACTTAATATCAATCCTTTGTGATCTTATTAATCCCTAAATGATAGGAATTTTTCTCATTGAAAACTCCACTGGGATTTTTAAAATATTATTTCCTGTGTGATTATTCTCATAATCAGATAATTCCCAACTTTTGCTTTTTACAATAACTTAGTTCTCCTCAAGTCTCATGTGATACCTTGGAAAGGTAATAAGTTTTTGCTTTGAAACACAAAACGTCAGAACATTTCACAATTAGCATCCGTCATAGCTCCTTGATTAAACACTGATGATTCTTAGCATGACTTTTGTAACTAGATCCTAACTTTCTTATTTCTTTTCAATAATTGTGTAATATTTCTAAACCTTGGGTTGTCCGTCATTTTCCATTACTGTCGTTATGTCATAACATTGTTTTCTGCCAATAAATGATTTCATTCGGGACTAATAGGGTGTATTGTTCTGAAGTTTTTATCATTTATTTCTTCTTGTTCTTCTAATTAATAATTCAATAGTAATTTTATATTCGTAAAATTTATTTCCTGTAATTTTATTCTTTACTCATCATTGCAGCTGTATTCTCTACTCGAAAAAAAGAACGTGAAACTTTTTATGAAAAGTAAGATTGAAGCAAAAATCTTTTTCCTCGATTAAGTGCAAACAATCATATTTTTGACCCCCACGATGTTAGCATTTGCAAACTGAAACCCCTAAGTTTTGTGTCTCAGTCAGTGAGATATATGTGTCAGAAAATGTCCACCTGCTAATTCTTATTCCACTAATTTCTCTTTAAAATTTGAATGAAGTATCCCATTTTCTTGCATTTCTACATGATCCAGAGTGTTAGCTCCATGCCTATTTAGTTTCTTCCTTGATGTTTCCACCTTTTCCAGTCTTTTTCCTATTTTCAAATATGACTATTACGACATTTTTCCCACGGGCACCTATCACATTGTACAAACGTCCCTATTGAGAATCATTAAATGCTAGCATCTTAATACGAATCTAAACCAACACTGAAAACAATAGATCGGACTTAACTACTCCAATAACTTTTAATGCCCATTAACGAGTATATCTTTATCGTGCATCTTTGCAAAATTGGTGCCGTATTGTCAGAAACTTGACTGCCACGAGTCAATCAGAATCACCCTTCGAAAAAATACATCCAATTTGCTGTTCGTGAATTTCTCCCAATCGTAAGAATCAAAAAAATATATTCCTTAATTTATCCCAGTACAAATACAAATTAATTTTATCTTTGACGTCTATTCCATATTTGGTATATATTGACGGAGGAATTTCATGAACTTCAAAAAGGTATGAGGATTCTTGTATGGTGCCTTTTATCTTTACCAATGTCAAAAAATGATCTCTTCTGGCTTATTTCACTCATTTTCCTCTCAAATGTGAATGAAGAAATTGTTTCTGAATAGTTTTCAGTGTTATCTACACATCTGTTTATTTTACTCCTTGCCAATTCCTCTCTATATCATTCCATTTCTTCAAATGAAACATGTCCATCAGGATATTTTTCTGATGGGCATTCACTATGATGTCTCTATGGTTTATCAAAAGTTAAGTAATTGCATATGTTAACAATGCTTAGGTAGTTCTTAAGTTAAGTTTCTCCATTAAGCGTGATTGAAGAAATCGTAACAAGTATTCTCGTATTGTTCTGTCAGTCTCTTGAATTTACGATTCTATAGAACTTCACTTCTCTGTTCCTTCCTCTAGATCTAACCTCTTATCACTTATAATCATCTGCTGTATTTATTGTACCACGAAATATGAAAAGAGATGCAAAAAATTATATTTTCCTCCTGAAGGTCTCAGATTCCTAAATCTCACATTGACTCAAAACTGTCCATACCATTCAAATTTTACGCAAGTTATAAAAATATGTTCTCTCTATGATTAGATTATCTAAACGTAGACAGAAACTGTTTTTGACAAACTGGTTTTAAAACTCATTAAAACAAATGTTCAACTACTATTGGGAAAAACTGTAGTGGCATTTATTGACGAAATCATCACTTGACAGTATTAGTAAATATCCGCGGGATTAAATCTGGATCTTGATGTAATCCTCGACTCATTTCATCATTTTGGTCAACCCTGACATTAAATTCTAGACCAATCATTCCTCAAAAATATCACTCAAACAACAAAATAAAAAGAAATATTTTCACATGTAAATATTCTTGTATGATAAAATTATGAAAACGAGTAAATTTTTTAGAAATTTCTTAAAAGAAAGATGGAAAATTTGGGCCACTTTGTAATCTCTTGAAATGGGTGATAATAGAGTTAATTTGCAGGGGAAGAGATATTGAATGCTTCAATGGCCACAATTGGAAGATGATGCCCCGTAGCGCCATATCAAATAAGTGTAAAAACCCAGGAGAAAAGCTTTAGTTATGTTTTGAAAAGTAAAATTAAGTGAAAAAGGTTATAATAAGTGAGAAATAAAGTAAGCAGGCATGAAGTAAACATTCTAAATTGTACACAAATGCAAGAAAATTAGATATTTCATCCAAATTTTTTAGAGAAATAGAGTGAAATAGAAGGCCAGAAAATAATATTGAGGAATGGGAAATCACGTTTTCATGCATCAGTGATCACAAAATGAAGCCGTGACATATTAACACAACATACACAGCTTCATATTAAAAACAGATTAAATGAACATGACATGACACCGTGTTGATGTCATATGACTTCATGCTTAAAATCAAGTCTTATGACTGTCGGTGCAAGCTCTAAAACTTATTTTGCTGTCTTTATGCAATCTCTTAATGAGAAAGAGAATTTCTACATTTGTTAATTGTGCCTGCTTTGTGACTATATCTTAATCCAGGAGACTTAAGGTGTTAAATGATGAGTTTTGACAACTTCCTCCTTTCTGTTAAGCAAATACCATCATACAATAGTAAAAATTGATAGCTAGAGCAGAGAACAATATGAATGAAGGTGAAGGAATGTATATCCTGAAGCAAGAGGATATTTCCCAGAATTCCTAGATGAACCCTTCATTATGTAAAGGTGAACCTACAAATGGAGATAAGATTATTTCTGAATTCTGGGGTGTTTTTCCCTCTTCCCCGAAGCCTTGAGGATAACCTCATCAATATTTTACATAGGATAATGACTTGATGAATTGACAAATACACATAATAACATACGTTATAATTGAGATCACCTATTCCCTAAACAGGTAATTCATTCATTAAAAATCTGACTCATTGATTTTTACTAATGGGCTTAATGATACAGTTATAAAAAATAACCTGCAACTGAAATCATGGTCAATATTACAAATGTGAAATAAAATGATAAATAATGAAATGAGCAAGGAATGAAGTAAACAGACATATGATCAACACTCAAAATTATATAAAAATTCCCAAAAATTCAATACTTCATTCAAATTTAAGAGAGATTTGAGGGGAATATAATCGAATAAGCAGAAGCAAACGACCTTTTTATGAATGAACATATCTTTCTTTCAGGCGGTATACTATACATTTAATGGATTTGAACCTCCGATGATTGTATCGTAGAGTAGTGAAAATCAATTGGCCTTATTTAGATACCACCCCCGCCATAAGCTATCTTTACAACCTCGATTTGATTCATTCATGAATATTTTACCATTGCATCATGGACTTTCTTTAGAAATCTCACAATTGCAAT